TAGTGTCACCTCTCCAGCCTGTCCAGATGGCATTCCTTCCCTCCAGCATATCAGCTGCGCCATGCAACTTTGGTGTCATTGGCAGACTTCCTGGGTGCCCTCAATCCCACTGTTCATGTCACCAAAATAGATATTAAGCAGTGCTGGTCCCAGACTTGGTCTCCACTTGGACATCGAGCTGTTGACTGCAAGTCTGAGTGCAGCCACCAGCAAATTCCTTATCCAGGGAGAGGTCCATCTGTCCAATTTAGAGACAAGGGATCTCCTTCAGGACAGTGTCAAACGTTTTGCACAAGTCTAGGCAGACTGTCAGTTGTTCTTCCCTTGTCCACCAACACTGTAAGACAATCATAGAACCAAATTTGTCTGGTCTGGTTTGCTTTACGTGAAGCCATGTTGACTCTCTGCAATCACTGCCTTATTTTCCATGTGCCTTAGCAGAGTTCCCAGGTGGAGGGTCATGGAGTCTGCTCTATGATCTTGCCAGGTGCAGAAGTGAGGCTTCCCAGCCTGTAGTGCCCCAAGCCTGCCTTTTCTTCCTTTTTGTAAATGGGGGTTATGTTTCCCCTTTTCCAGTCACTGGGAACTTCCTCAGATGGCCACAACTTCTCAATGAATGGAGAATGGCTTGGCCGCTTCCTCTGACAGTTCCCTTAGCACTCATTGGATGCATTTCATCAGTTCCCATGGACTTGTGCACCTTCACCTTCCTTAGATGGTCTCAAGCCTGTTTTCCTATAGCACGTGGTCCTTCATTATGCCAGTCCCTGCTGCTTTCCCCTTTTATAACTTGGTTTGGAGCACTTCTTGGTGAAGACGGAGTCGGAAACATCATTGAGTACCTCAATATCCATGGAAACCAGGTCTCCTGTTTCTTCCTGGAGAGGGCCCATGTTTTCCCCAGCCTTTCTCTTATCACCAGTGTACCTACAGAAGCTTCTTGTTGCCCATGACCCCTTGGATTTTTTTTCAATGAGTCATTTCATGCTGCAATAAAGGTCTGACACTTTGTGGCTGCTAGAGGTGCATCATGTGAGTGAATGTTTTGTTTAGCTGTGGGAAATATGGTTGACAAGGGAGAGTTTGCTACAGCTACTAGTGGTCACTAAAAATCTCATAGTAAATAGTATGTATGACTTGAAGATGATATCTGTGCATGAGCTATGGAGTATTTTCTGTTTCTGCATTTTGATTTCCACAGCTTGTGAAGGAAGCTCAGCAGATTTAATAGTACATGCTTTTCTCACAGCACATAGGGCATTTATCAATAGTTAATGACTTGATGGTAAAATATGTTAAAGAAATTTAATTTAGCCTGTGAAATCCAGCTCTTGAGGTTTTTATAATTATTCATGCAGGTTGAAATATCTGCAGAGTGAATAAACTGCAGGAAGGAGTTCTGTGGATTCAGTTGGTTTTCAGTTGTGGATTCAATTTGATTTGACAGCCTAAAACTATTCAGGTTTGTATAGTTCCAGTTCTTGAGATTGGAGAGGTACTATCTCTGATGCTAGTTACTGAAGTTTTGCTTTCCTCCTTACATGCTTGGACTTCATCTGAATACCTTTATCAAGACTGGCTTGGTTAGAAAATTGACAATTCTCTAGATCTTTGTTTTGCTGTGTTTCTGTCTGCTTTTCTGAAGAAAAAAACCCCAAGCCTAATCCTCAGTTTTTAAGAACTGTGTGTTGTGACTGCTTGTCTGTTGGTGAAGGAGATCTCATGTTCTCTTACATGCATTCTACCTGAAGTTTAGAGGTAGAGGTTTTTTCCTTCGTACATATTTCCTTCCTTTCCTTTATTTTATTTTAAAGTTGCTGACAGTTTAGTGGACCTGGCAGATCTGTTTTATCATAGGTCATCCTTCAGACATCCTGGTATAACAAAATCTTGAGAACGTGACCGTCTGGCCCAGATGTTGGCTAGTACAAATAACAGTGGAATTCTTGTTTTGAATCAGCACTTGACTGGAAAAACCAAAGAAAACCATCTGCATTTCCGATCTGCAAAAATAAAAGCTGATATGGGGGTTCTTCAGTTGATGGAAACAACTGATGGTATGTGTAAGTGCTTTTGTATGAAAAACATTAAATGCTAGAGAGCTCTATGTAAATGCATTTGAAAACATAACTAGAAATAGGAACCAAAATCTGGAACTGGGCATTTGAATGGGAAATTTGATACTAGAATTTTTTTACAGAAAAAAATTGATGCAGAAAGGGATGATTGAGGGCAGTATTACTTTGCTTTTGATGCCTTCAATGAAAATGTTTACCCAAAATTTAAATAAGGCTTAACAAAATAGGCTGTATTTAATGAAGGTGGTCAGATGAGGCAAATTAGTGATCCCTTCTTGCCTTGGGCTAGAGTTAGGGAGATGTGTTCAGCACTGTGGTATTGTTGCAGACTTCAGAAAGGACACAAATGAGCAGGTGTTCCCTGTGTCTGTTCCTGAGTAAGCACTGGTACAGTTGTTAGCTGTGAGTGCCTCTTGTCTCATCGTTGCTCCTGATGCTGTCAGTTGGTCTCGCAATCAGCAAGAGCAGTAGTGAGATTCTTGGACCTTGAATACATGACTGTGTTCCTTCAGTGGACAAAGACTATCAGATGTTGCGCCAGTGTTCCCTTTTTCAGGTTGACTGATAGACCTGGCCATAGTTTGCTTCATTAGATCCTTTTGCTATTCTCATTTGTCATAGCTGGACACAATCTCAAATATTTGGAGGTTTTTCACTCGCTTTTGTTCTTTGTTCTTTCATCAAGTTATTTTTTTCCTGTGAGCTTTCTGCTGTTTCTGACATCTGTCTTCTTTTTTCCTGAGTGCTTAGTTTTCAATCACTGGACTCCATTTTGTATTTTGTGTTACTTTGCATCAATTTCTCTGGCTACTCATTCCATCTTTTGCCAGCTGTCCCGGAGTGCTCTTCTCTGCACTCTGCATTGTTGTTGAATCTGTTTATCTTTGCTCTCTCTCATTACTTCAGTCCTTTGTTATGCACTAGAGAGACAAGTAGATTTTGTTCAGTTCTCCTTGGTATTTGTGGAATTTGGTGTAGGAGTCTCTTGTAAGGTGTGCATGACAATCAAGTCCCCATTCTGGTAGATGTCCCTACTCATTGGTTTGGCAGAGGGCATGCTGCTGTAGCAGTAGCACTAATGAGCACTGAAGTATTGTCTTGGTCTGAAAAGACAGGTGTCTGCTAAAGAAGGCAGGAGCTTCCCCTGAAATGGTTACTGTAAACCCCCTCCCTCCACATTGTTATAATTTTGAAATTAAGGAGCTCACAGGCAAAGATACAGGAGCAGGAATAACAGTTCTTTATTAGGAAAGAAAATTTAAAAAAATAGAAGAAAAGAAACAATACAGTAATACAAAACAACACTGACAGAGTCAGGATACAACCCGAAACCCCGCGGGTCAGGGTGTTGGTAGCAGTCCCATTAAATGGTGGATGCAGTCGTCCTGCAGTGAGTGGTGTGGTTCTGTTGGAGCTGTGATCCTGTGTTTTCCTCTGAAGATCCAGTGCTGGTCTAGATGGGCCTGGTTTTCCTCTAGGAATCCGGTGGAAAAGGCTGACTGTGGTCTTCCAAATTTCTGATTATATCCAGAGAGGAATGCTTGGCTCCTCCCTCTGGGTGGCACACCTCACAATGGGATGATGGAATTTTTATCAGTCATGCAGTGAGACTCAATGGCCCACTAACAGAAGATATCTCCCCGAGGGAGGATTAGTTGTGGAAAAGATCAAGAAAACTACCCAATTAACAAAAGATAACTGCACCACTTCTAACAAATAGGAACAGAATACACACCAGCATTTCCAACCTAAGACAAGTATACCACATGGTATTAAAAAATAACTGTCACTTTGAAGTCAGGGTTTAAAAGCTTGGCTGTTGTCTCAGTGAAGCCCCCCACAGGCAGTTTATACTGAGGTGCAGGAAATGAAAATGGATCCCTGTCTTGTTTCAACACACTCTGGGTTTTGGGACAGGTATTGCATATAAGGGTCTATATTGTTTTCACTTCTGAAATGAATTGCCTGCACAGTGCTCTTATTAATAAACATTTTTAAGATTAGCATTATTTGCTGGATAGATGAACTTAAAAAATAAAGGGAAAAGATATCAGGCAAAATGATGTCATAAGTAACTTAGTTTCTTGATTAATTTTACCTTTTGTAGAACAAATTATGCCAGTCTTGCTAGATCAGTCTTGTAGTGATCCATCTAAAATATAGAAAGATCCATCTAAAAAATAGAGGCTCTTCTACCCTCTCAATTAAATGCACAGTTCTGGTAATAATTTTCATAATTTTGTGTACGTCAACTAAAGTTTTACTTTTTCAGCCAAACTGATCTAATATAGCAGTTCCCAAATTGACAGTTTCATCCCTTTTTCCTTATATGGTGGTCCAAGTACTTTACTGAGCCTGCAAGATTTTGTGATACTGTTCTTTTTTTTGGTGCAAGGTAGCTCTTGATAACTTTATATTTCCTTTTTCTTTTATGCTAGCCTTTCAAGCTCTGAAAGCTTTAAAAGTTTTAGTTTTCTTAGGTGTCTAAACTTGTTTATAAGACTGGAAAATTGCAAAGGTGGAACTTATTTATTTGATTTCTTTGCAAATCTAGCTCTCTGTAAATCCCATTTCCAGACTGAAAGACAGCTGAAATATTGTACTCATCTTTATATACAAACATACAGGAGGGCTGCTGACTGCCTAGTGTGTGTGCAGCTTCTCTTAAAATATAACTCACAGATAAGATGCATCAGTTTGTTGAATGCTCAGGAATTCTCACCTCTGCTTTATCACACACACTCCCCCTTTTTACTTTTGAAGATCAAGTCCTTATAAACATCTGTTATCAGGAGCTGGTAGAAACAATATGTGTAATGGCTAGGGATTCATTGTTGCTAAAAGCATCATAGAACATAACATTTTCATAATTGTCAATATGAATGTGCTTGGAAAAAACTCCAATGATTTCTTTTTTTACAGAAAAACCTGCCATTGCCCCACCTGTCTTTGTATTTCAAAAGGATAAAGCACAGAAGGTAAGGAGATATTGGCACTTTTTTTTGGTTTTGTTCTTAGCCCTGACTCCTTCCTTCCATGGTGATTAGCCTTTGTATTGTTGTGAAGCTGAAGGTGGCTAATAGAGCATTAACATCATTAATGGGCATAGGGCAGGCAGGTACTGAGGGGCTAAAAGTGGGAAGATGTATGGTGGTTTCACAATTATGGGTAGCTCTTCAGACAGAAGATGGACCAATGTGGAAGAAAAAGTATGGTGAAGGTGTATCTTGAACATGAGTCAGAGGAGTGCTGATGCACTTAGCATGACAAAGCTACAAAATTTATTTTTCTGATAATAGGGTTAAGATAAAGCAAAGACAACTGGTCCAGATGATTGCTTTTTACCTCAGGGTACTTAAATGTCTCTCATATCTTTGGTTTGTATGCTGTGAAGTGTCTAGTTACCTTGGGAAGTGGTAATTCTGTTCCTGCATCTCAATATGGTATTTAATTCTGTCTGGTTAATAGTAAAAGCTAGTAAGATTTATGTGGGAAAAAAATCAAGGTTATTCAGGTTTCTGTTGAAGATGGTGGGAACCAAGAGAAGTATGTGATACGCTTTCTGTCGGATCACTGGATTGCTTTGTTGTTTGTGGAGTCAGAAATGTTTGAATTGAAATACTGAATCATTTTTCAGTTGATAGCTTTTCTTTAGTTTAGAACAAGTACCAGACTGAAGCTTTCTCACAGGTTCAATAGGCGTATTCCTCAGCAGGAGCTTGAAATAGTTTTTCAGCTTGGAAAGGATTTAAGTCTGCTGTCCTCCTAGTATTAGCTAATCAAATTAAATCTGCTAGAGAGTAAGTACTTTCAAGACATTCTTTTAATTACATATTTTACAGTGACTGTTTAGATATACTGTGGAATGAAGGAGTGGTAGTGTTTGCACTACCAATTTTGATCACGTTTCCTTTTAGGAAACAGCTCCCAGTCACCCACTGTTGCTTAGACTGATCTGAAGTCCCTTATGAGTTGCATCATGGTGAGTGTTCTCTGCAGGTGTCCTTTACCATGGTGGTGATCATAGCAGTGTGCAGTCCAGGCAGAGTGACATGGTCCTGTGTCCTTTTTACCTGGCCTGGTCTTTACATGCCAAGATAGAGTTCTTGTACTCTCAAGTTCCTTCATGATGCACCTTTGCTTCTGCACCCCTTCAGCAGCCTCCATACTGCATGCCTTCAGCATTAAGCTGTGCAAACTCCTGCACTGAGCTGTGAGGCAGTTCTGTTGCGCTCTGATGGGTGTCAATAAAATATTTGTAAAAATATATTAATTAAAGGGATAATGTGTTTTGCGACTAGCAGAGATGATCCAGAGAGAGACATCTCTGATTTTAATCTGCCCAGCTGCCTCTGAGGATGCTGAGGTGATGCTGAACAGATAGCTGTATTCAGGACCACCTCTGCCTCGGCACAGACAGAAAGTCTGGCTTTGTTTGGTAGAGAGTCTGTGGGTTTCTCAGCATCTTGAAGGCACATGAGTTAGAAATAAGTTATACATTTATTTAAATGCCAAGTGGTGGTGGTGCTGTTATTGGGGCTAGCCACTGTTGCTTTGGGCATGGAGTAAGTCTGGCTTGGGTGGGGAATAGGGCTTGTTCCTTGAAACAGATCAGAGAGTCCAGTGATAGCATCTGTCAGTTAGTTGCCAATTTTCAGAGTAGTAACAGACATAAATGCTTATGCTAAACTGTGTGTTGTATGGAGATGTAGGATTTTTGAAGTGGTTAATAATTTTAGTAGCTTTTATTGTGGTGTAGTTGACACTGCAGAGGAGGACTTGTAGAAGTATCAGTGCTGTGATTCTTGCAGTTTGATTGGATTAAGAGCTTGTTGCTTGTGCCAGTAGTTGTTTTTTGTAGTATAGATATAGAAGTAGTATAGTCAGAACATGATGCTGTGAGCCCAAAGTAACAGCATATATACTATGCTGTATATATCAGAACCTAGCATTCAGGCCAGTTTTAATCAACTTAATTAAGGAAAAGTGCATCAAGTTACATACTGGTTGAGCTGTATCACTGTATTTTCAGAAAGACTTAATAGCTAGGTGTTCCCAAGAAGGGTAAACTCCGTTACTGTTTCTGTAAAAGGTGCTTGGTTAAGTGCATTGCCTACTGCTAAAGACTATCCTCCTTAAAGTTATCAGGGAAATCCTGTCAACAGAGGAGTTTTTCCTTCAGCAATGTTTTGAAGAAAATGCAAAAGTAACTTCAAAATAGTTGTCAAACAACACACTACTTGAATATGTAATTTCTCAATGTAAATTATAATTTTAATTTAGCAAAATGTCTGTCTAGTCACGTCACTTTTTTCTGTAAGCAGAAGTGTTAGTGGAGGCTTTTTAGTGCTGACACAGCAGTCTGACAATAAGCTGAGGGGAAGAAAAAGCACTGCATTGTGTATTCAGTTAACTGTCTGCGATGGTTATATATGTTTGTCTACTATTTTTCCACATAAACCTGGATGTCCTAAGCAGAATTATTTAGTTGCAGCATCTACAGATCCTCTCAGTAGTACAGCTGGGTTGATACAATTCAGTGCTCTTACTGGTTTTTCTGGAACTAACAGTAGTGTCAGCTATTAAGTTAAACAATGTTCTTTTTCCAGAAATCCTGACTTAAGTTTGTGCTTGGTAGGTGTCTGACCTTTGGGTCATACCAACACCACGGAACATTTGAGGCTTGGAGCAGAGTGGCTGGAAAGCTGCCTCGTAGAGAAGGACCCGTTGGTCCTGGTCAGCAGTGGCTGAACGTGAGCCCATGTGTGCCCAGGTAGCCAAGAGGGCCAGTGGCACCCGGCCTGTACCAGCCACAGTATGGCCAGCAGGACTGGGCACTGCTGAGGCATTTCAAATCTTGGGTTCAGTTTTAGGCCCCTCATGACAAGAAAGTCACTGAAGGCTGGAGCATGTTCAGAGAAGGGAACAGAGCTGGGGAAAGGTCTGGAATACAAGGCTAATAAGGAGCAGCTGCAGGGGCTCAGCCTGGAGAGAGGGAGGCTCAGAGGAGACCTCGCTCTCTACAACTCCCGACACGAGGGTGGAGCCGGGTGGGGGTCAGGCTCTACTAGCAGGGAGCAAGGGACAGGATGAGAGGAAATGACCTCAAGCTGCGCTGGGGTGTTTTAGGTTGGATATTGGGAATTTCTTCACTGAAAGGGCTGTCCAGCCCTGTCACAGTTACCCAGGACAGTGGTGGAGTCCCCAACCCTACAGGGAATTAAAAGCTGTGTGGATGTGGCACATGGGGATGTGGGCTACTGGTAGACTTGGTAGTGTTGAGGGAATGGCTTGACTCTGATCTTGGAGAAGTTTTCCAACCTGAACAATTATATGGTTTTATGATCTTTTTCTCCACTAGAAATTGGAAAATATTCAGCATGTTCTAGGACAAAATTCATACCAGCCTGGAAACTAATTCTTTAACTGCATCTTCCAGCTAGGGATATATACACTTGAATAAAACATCAGACCTTGCAATTTGACATGTTTATTTAGAGGGGACAAAAAATGCATAGTGTTCATAATGCTGCTCCTTAATGTTATTTTATAGAAGGAGGTTTGAATTTTCTTTTGCAATTAAAGACACTTGAGCATGTCCAGAGAAGGGCAACAAGGCTGGTGAGGGGCTTGGAACACAAGTCCTATGAGAAACGACTGAGGGAGCTGGGGGTGTTTAGCCTGGAGAAAAAGAGACTCAGAGGTGACCTTATCACTCTCTACAGCTTCCTGAAAGGTGGTTATAGTCAGGTGGGGGTTGGTCAGGCAGCAACTGATGGAACCAGAGGACACAGTCTCAAGGTTCGCCAAGGGAAATTTAGGTTTGATATTAGGAAAAAGCTTTTTACAGAAAGGGTGATAAAGTTCTGGAATGATCTGCCTGGGGAGGTGGTGGAGTGGACATCCCTGGATGTGTATAAAGAAAGACTGGATGTGGCACTCGGTGCCATGGTTTAGTTGAGGTGTTAGGGCATGGGTTGGACTTGATGATCTTAAGGGTCTCTTCCAACCTCATAATTCTGTGAATTCTGTGAAAAGATAGGATTAGTCTGTCCTGGTTTTCAATTTAGATGTCAATGGTGGACGTCAAGTTTGTAGTTACTAAATATGAGTGGGTCTGCATTTTCATGATTTTTATAGCTCCTTAACTATTTAAGAACTATTTTTACAAAGTGTGAAATATAATCTTGCAAATATCTGACTAGTAGCACTGCTATTCGTGTTTCTGACAAGCAGAGTTCCTAAAGCTGATACAAGTTGGAAAATTGCATCAGCTTAAGGCTCAAACTGCTGAGATCTGAAAGCAGTACAAAGTCTGAACCTCACTATGTTAGGCATGGAGTATTTCTGTTATTCCAAATAACTTCTTTATGAGCTAAGCTGTGTTTTTCATAGCCCTTTTTGAATTAAATATTTAAATTGATGGATACAACTTACATCTGTGTTTAATATTAGACACTTTGGTGTTTCTGATCTGAAACTGATTTTAGCTTCTGCCGTAAAACCATTTCATGACAATGGTTTTTCTGGCCATAGATTACATAGATTAGGTGATTTTCTGAAGTTAACTTTTAACATGCATTTCTGAGGTGAAAGTATTCTGTCATTTTTGGATTGACACATTTTTAAGCAATTATATTAGCTCAAACAAATTAAATCAGTAGTAGCATAAAGAAACACTTTGTCAAAAGTGTTTTTAAAATAGTGTCATTTGTTCTGCTAGTATGAACTGTTGGTAAACTGGTCGTTACTCATAGTCATCTCACAGGACCATCACCATTGTCATCACATATGACCTCCCATGTCACATGTATAGGAAAAGGTAGATTCCCCACTCAGATTTAAAAAACTTCTGCACTTGAAAACACCATTGTTTATGGTGTAGCTTGCACCTTGTCCTCCTCCCTCCACCAGCCTGTGCTGGGGTATCGGTAGAATATAGAAAAGAGCACTTTAGTTTGTTGTATAACTAGTTTTGATCAGTGTACTGCTTTCCATATGTGAGTTGATAATGATGGCCTTTTACGATTGACTCTGAAAGAAGGTAAGTTATGTGAAACTTGGGTCAGGTTCCATACCAAAGTGGTGCAGGTAACTGGGGGTCCTAAATGCAAAGCTTCTGGAGTGAATAAGGGCTTATGTTGTTAAATCGTTCAAGCTGTCATCATGGTCTTAACTATGGAGTTTTAAAACTAGGTGTAGAGTTGTAAAACTGATGGATGTGATTGGAAGATGGCATTCCCAGGTATCCTGGAGAGCAAAATCATGAGTTAATTTTTTTTTTTTAAGGTATGTAAAGTAGGGGTTAGTTAAAGTCCTGCTTTGATGCAGTGTTATTTGGAAATGCTTGGGTTTTGGTGATTTGGGGAGGCAAATGACTAGAAAAGATTCTTCATGCTGTGGCCATGACTTACAGGTTTAGGATAGTGACAGAGAGAGAACTGTGAAGTAATTTATGTACAGAGAGGCCGAGCATTCCCTTTCCCAGTCTGTTTCAGCATTGTTAGCATGAATACCCAGTGCAACTGTATTATAAGTCCATACTATACTTAAGGAGTTAAAATTTGTGCTTAAGAGGTCATAATTTTGAATATGTTGCTGTACTTAAAAGAACAGTCATGAGAAGGTATTTGGAGAGACAGTTGTGTAGAAAAAGCTTGGAGGAATATAGAGAGGCTGATAAAGGCTCTTAGGCATATAGGCAAGAGTTGTCCTTGGCTCTAAGCAGGTAAAAAATGTGAAAAGATATACTGAGAGTAGTCTTTTTAGGCCATTGGATAGAGGTGCTGGGGTGAGGAAAATGAGGAAGGGGGTTGCAAATAACTCAATTCAGAAATGGGAGGAAGAGCTGGTCCAAGAGTGCTTGTTCCAGTCTTTATTGAAAAATAATATTATTTCCTTGCCTATATTTGGGATGACTGTGGTATCATGTGAGTCTTAGCTTTTGATTATTCCTTCATGTCTCTCTTTATTTTCTGCAATACAGAGGAAGCCAAATCTCCAAATAGATGTATTTAGTCTGGGTGTGTTATTTTTAGTTTAAAAAAAATAGAAGTTGTTTGATCTGGTTGAGCAAGGTGAATTTGTGTAGGTGGCTTCCTAATATTATTCAGCTCTCCCTTGATCTTTGCCATAGTGTTTAAGAGGCAGGAACTGGTTTCTGTCAAGTTCTCCCTAGAACTGTATTTTATAAGGAATGCTTTCTCTAGAGAGAGGAGGCTCAAGGAGTGACACATTTCTCAGGCAAAATATTCCAGCAAAAATGAAGAGAGTGAGCTGTTCACCAGCTCCAAAGAACTTCCAGAAAGAGCTTAGATCAGAATTCATGAAGCTAACAGACTAGGAAACACTTTGAATAGTATGCATGACCAAGGATTAAAATTAATTTAAAGGGTTCACAGTTTCCTTTGGATATGCTTTTTTGAGAGCAAAACACAGGCTGTACAAAATCTGCCTGGAGCAGTTCTGGTTTGATAGATAAATCCTTGAGTCTTTGTTGGTCTTGTCTTCCCTGACTTAAACCATATACTGTTCACAGAATTCTGAAATTTACAGTAGTTTTTGATTAATATACTTTTTCTAATATAATTTAATTTTTTAAAATATAATTATATATTGGCCATGAAATTCTTATATTGGATTCAGATTTTTCTTCATAGAAGTGGTGATTTGCAATAGATATTTTTCTTGGTTTTGTGGGTCTTGAAGCAGATATTCCAGCGTTGCTTAGGATAGAAGTCAGATTTTTTCTTATTTCCACTTTTAAAAATGCTTGACAGCAAGTAGTTCAAGTATTACAGTAGTTATTAAAATCTGTTGGATGTTTACTTAGCCTACTTTAGGATATTCTAGACTGTGGTGATATCAATTATTTGCAAAATATTTTGTCATTTCCAATTTTAAGTGCTTAGCACAAGTGTGCATTGCATGTTCTTGCCTCTTCTTCATTACGAGCAATTTTCTAAACTGTACCTAGAAGTCAGTATAAATTTCTGGTAAGGCTCTTTTTTTACATATATTTTAAGTGCTTTGCCCAGTTCCAGGTAGCCTTTCCTCCTGTTCTCCCCAGACAAAAAGGTAAGGATAGGTGGCTAGACTGCTAGATTTTATTAAATATTTGATGAAAAAATGTTTCTTTAACTCTTCTCATTCTGTGGGGTTTTAAGCTAGTGTTTGGGTCTCTTATTTACAGCTAAATATTAAAATGTTAGATAACTTTGACAGTACAAAAACCCAGCACCCTGAACTTTTACCTGATATCCATGGTAATATCCCCATAAATATATTTTTACTATTTTGAACCTTAATTATAGTAATTTCTTGCATAATACAATTTCATTGTATCACTGGCTTAAGTTACCATGACAGGGCAAGTGTTACTTGAAGAACTTGGCTCTTAAGTCCTGCTGTTTATTTTTCAGACTTTTGCTTACTTTCTTGCACAGACCGGGGCAATGATGAGCATTTTTAGTTTCTTCATTCTACCAAGTGTTTTCTGGGAGCAAACTGAGGTTGTGTTCTTTTGAGTGCCATCTTTTCCTTACTGCATAATTCTTCAGGTACTTCACCATAAGATGCCGGGAAGCACAGGCCACAGATTGCAAGTGCACATCCTTGGCCTGCATGTTATCCATGGACTATAATTCAGTCTTTAATCGCAATACAGTTGTTTGTGCTCAAAGCCTTTTTATAACTTGTTCGTTCTTCAGATGGGTACAGAATATGATAATGCTAGCTTTTGTTGTACAGGCAGGGATGTGCAACATTAAATGATGTGAAGGAATGAAAAGTCTGTGGCAGAAGTTCAGCAAACACCAAATCCCATTAGGGTGCGCTAGTTATCCAGTCACGTCCCTCCTTGAATTAGATTGAAACTTGCTAATTTATGAAAAAAACATTGGTGTTGCTTTTCAGATAATTCACTGTCATATAAATATGAAAGGATCCTGTGTCTTGTGTGAATGTTAAAATAATTAATTTCTGTGAGAATTTTATAACCAACCTCACCTCCCTCAAAAGTGGGCTGAAGAGGCAGTGGAGGACACTTATTTAGAGTAATTGTCTAATTTTTATATCTGAATCTAAAGGTGAAAGTTATCAACTGTCCTTTAGTCCTTGAGAGAGGGGAGGGGTTAAACCCCAACAAGCCTGTGGCTGGCAAAATCCTGTTTGCTGGGGACACAGATGATTTTGGTAACTTTCAAAAGAGTGCATTTGCTCCAACTAAGGCTTTTGTCAAGGATGGGAACTATTCTGTCAGCACGTTCTGTTACAGAGTTTCTATGTATTTTAATTGGTGTCTCAGGAATAAGCAGCTTCTTCTGCCCTACTGTGAAAACAGTGAAAATTAAACAAATGGATCCTCTCGCTAGGACGACCAATCTCATGTTGCAGCCTTGCATTGAAGGGACGTTGTCTTTTCTGCTCACAGTCCCCTGCAGAGCAAAAAGCTTTGTCGGATTCAGGCGAGGACCCCCAGGGAGAGGTTGAGCCCCCCTGCCATGGTCTGGGTCACACAGAACCAGCTGGTGAGTGCGACTCTGAGCACCCTGCTCCTGCTGTGGCCTCAGTCAGTGCTACCCTGAGTCCTGCTTCTGAAGCCCAGCTTGCTCCTATTCAACAAGAACTGGCAGGGGTAAGTGTCAATCTACCAAGTACTTCTGCTGCTGAGGGGATTAGAGGAAAAAGTCCCTTCCGTTAGGTGGAATCCGTTACTGTTCAGTGTAGGTAGTGCAAATCACAGTCTGTCTGGTTCTTTGATTTCAAGTGTCAGTCTTCTCTAAACCCTTGTTCCAATTAGAAGTAATGAAATTTGTGAGTCTCCCTAGTAGTGTAGCGTAACTGTAGAAGACACCTAAAGTATTTTAAAATTTAAAGTGTAAACTGTGTGTTTGCTAAGGGCAAGAGCACTTCTAAATAAATGAGAAAGTGGGTCTATATTTGATGGATTTGCTTCAAGCAGTGAGAGGAGGACTCTTTGTTCCCTCCATGGGCCATAATATGCTGCAGCTTGACCAAGTGAGAAGGTAATGCAGCTTCCACTGGATATGTCGTGCTGACCTGTAAGGTATTTAACAGACTAAAAGCACCAAGCATCGTAGCAGAGTTTTGGATTAGGGATGAAATCAGTATCTTGTGGAAAAGCTGTCAGTGCTCATAATTTGATTTTTCTTCTGGTGATGTGGCAAAATCTTTTCTGAAAGACTGGATGACTAAATGACTCCTACCATACAGCCTTTCAGAGCAACTTTTAAGTGTTCCTAATCTTTCTGGTTGGTGGACCATGTTTTCTTGGTACAGATGAGTGTCACTGTTCATTCTGGCAACACGCCCTAGGCACGTGCTCTTTGCTCAAGCTTTGTTAAGGCTGCTTCACCCAATACCTGGACCCTTTTCTTGCACTGGTTGTTTTCGAGTTTTTTTGTCCAAGAATTGGCCATTTCAAATAAACCTAGTACTGAGTGGATTGTCATGATAAGGTGCTAATAGCTGTAGGTTAAGCACCTCTCAATGTTCAGACTGTTGCTTGATTAACTGCAGAACTCTCTCTTTTTTGAAGCTTGACATTTTCGAGACTTAATATTTTAAAATGTAGCTGGTAAGCATGTGCGGAAAATCACGCTCTGAAAAACCAATGTCCATAAAGGAGACAGAGGAGCCCTGCAACTTTATTTGAATAAAAAAGGAGAGAGTCCCCTGGCCACACGTTCCCACCAGGTTTTCTTTCTTGAGGTTCTGGAGGGTGGAGCCTTCTCTTTAATCCCAAACTCCCGGCCGCATGTTGCCCTCTTCCTTTCCCCATTGTCTGAAGTACTAGGAAGGTAGAGCCTTCCCTAACTGTGTATTGCATATTCCCCCTTCAAAGTGTCATTTTACCCCGAAGTTCCTAAGTTCAAGCTTATGCTGAGTCCCCCACTTGTCTGTTTCAGGAGTTGGGCTGTCTGGGCTCCATAACAAACCTGCTGCTTGAAGTTGGAGGAGACTTTAAGACCAATTTCAAAGATGTTAACAGCCATACCCTCACCCATGGAATTCTTTGTAGCGATTTTATCACACATCTTTCCTATCAGACATAATCACAGACTTTTATCTCAGTTTTCTGCCATTTGAAATTGCAGTTACTAGAACTATCCAAGAGAATGGTGTTAACCAGACTTTCAGGAACGCAGAAAGTGGTTATCTTCGTTTGTTCTTAGAGAGCAGAAAATCTTACCCCAGTTAACTGTGTTCTGAAAGAAATTTAAAACCCAGAAATGCTGTTGGGGATCATATGCAGAAATTAGTGGCTGTACAAAACATCTGTTTCAGCATTCTTCTTGATTCAATTCAGTTAAATGTAATGAATTGTATGGTGCTCAGTATGGGCATGTGACTGGCATGCACTAGCAAGTACTCTTCAAATTATTCGAGTGTCTTACAGCAAAATCATCCCTTACCTTGAAATCTAGAGGAGATTGATGCATCTTAAGAGTGCTTGTACTGGCTCATTGGAGAGTCAGTTTTCATGCAGTCTTCTCAGGGCCTGGGAAGATGGATGAGTTAAGACAGAAGAAGAGACACTGCATATTTCTTGTTTACTTGTTTGTATACACATTCACAGATATTTCTGGAATGGCATGAATTTAGTGTGGCCGTAGGTACAGCCCCTTGCAGAGCTGATGGTTGTGTCCTAACTCTTTGCTGTCCCACACCAACCTCCCACAGCACATGACCATCCCAGCAAGACTGCTGATTAAGAGGTTCTGGAACAGCTTTTAAGCAAATCATGACAGTTCAATAATGCCTGTGTATGTGCAGAGTGTCTGGACTGAAGACTTGCACTACTGTGCTTTGAAGTCCATTTTATATGATTTTTGCATCTTAAAATGCATTTTCAAAGATAAACACTAGAAGTGTTTCAAAGATAAACACTAGAAGCTCCTAGAGCTTTACCTGAATTGCATTGACCTTTTCTGCTTTAGCCAAATTCTCCCTTCCTCTCCCTGTTTCTCCTCACTAGTGTAAATAAGCAAAAAATGACAATTTAAAGTTTTGAAGTTCTTCTCTTAGCTTGATGTAACAATTGTGTGACGAATCAATGTTTGTATTTAGTTAACATCTGTGACGTATGCTCTTAAGAAGCAGTTGGTAGCCTTTATGAAGCTAATTTCCTTAACTAGAAGCGTGTCTTAATTGTAGGAGCCTCTATAAATAGAGGCATATATGTAACTTTTCTCTAGCTGGATTTCTGAAAGCTGGGGACAGAGGGAATAAGTGAAAAGTGGCTTCTGCTCTTCAGTGAGAAAATTCTAGGTTGGATTTTGCTGTTACCAGTTTGTGTCTCATCAGCATCTATTCCAAAGAACTGAATGGAGATAAATTTAATTACCTTGGTGGTTTCTTGCAGTATGAGCTGGTCCTTGCTTTTGTTTCCATTTTGTGGGGTACTTCTTTAAATCATTATTTTAAAGCTTATTGTTGCTGTAAAGTACAGACTGAGTAGGTTGAGAGGTGTAAAATGGAGAGACTGGACTGCTGTTCATTGTCACTAAATGTATTTTGCTGCTTTTCCAGTCTGTCAGGTTTGTCATGCATATATAAACCCCTGCTTTTTGTCTAGTGTACCCAGCTTCCTCTGAAGCAGCACTGGTATGCAATTCTGACTGCAGTTGTGACTTACTTTATCTGTGGTTTCATAGAAAAGTGAAGCTTATGCTAATACAGTAGATCTGTGTACCCCCACAGAATCTACCTGGCATCTATTTGACCACAGGTACACAGCTTTAATCTCCCAAAACTCTTGGGCTAGGAAGCATGGAAATAACTTGGAGCAGATTTTATGTTCTGCTTTGCCCTCAGTAGAGTACAGAGTTGGTTTTGGATATTGATGCCTGTTACCCACTAAACATGGTGATGGTACATGAGTTGTGCTTGTCAGTTACAAAATTACAACGATAATATTATTTGAGGCACAAGCCTCAAATCATACGGGTTTGACTTTTGAATGTTTTACTTGAGCATTGAGAATGGAGCATGTGTTAAGTTTTTGACATTCAGGTGGAAATAATTTGTTTATTTTTAAGGATTTTTTGCAGATAGAGATTGCAGTTCCAGTCATGCAAATTTTTTACCGCCAAGTGTTTTCTTTTCACTTGCAGGATTTTTGATAAAAGTGGAAACAAATTGCTTTTATATGTGACAACACTTTATGGGCAAAATGGAACAATTTTGAGTTCAGATGCTGATTGTTGAAATACATGATATCATGGTTTTCCATTTTAGCCTTATCTTTTGGGAAAGCATTGCGTGTTGGCAAGGTCAGTGACTAATAAGACCACTTTCTGGTCTTGGACCACTTGACTAATTATGTGGAAAGAGCCATGGATCATCAAGTGCAGTATTGACATGGCTGGGCTGATAGTTCTGGAATGCAACTCCCTGCATTCACACACACCTGTCAGTAGTTTCTTATTCCTTATGCCTAAGGTTTCAAAAGTACTCAACTAGGGTGCTAGTGAGGTAGCTATGAACGTAAAACAAAACAGAAAAGCCCTTAAAGGTAATTAAATAGACACAGTGCAGTGTGTTTTTATTAGGGTTTAATAGAGTACTGATAGTACAGTATTATCTGGGTTCTAAATGTATGCAATGATAAATAGAAAGTTTTTTACTTTCTGATATTCTTACACCCAAGGTATGCCTCAGATATCAGTCCTGTGCAGATTTGTGCAGTCTTTCTGTGTGTCTGCCTGCTCTCAGTGTCCAAGTGGGCCAAATCATGGTGGAGAAGGAGTTTTGGGGCATCAGTGGGCTCTGCCCATGAGCTGCCATTCTTCCATTAATCAGCCAATCTCTGAAGTAAGACTGAGTGAAGGGGAGGTGGCCATGTGCATGTCCTGGGGCAGGAGTGGGATGAAAGGGTAGTGTCGGACTAGGCAGATGGTCCAGTGTGTCAGAGCTGTCTGAAAGGATGGTGTAGCCAAGGTGGGGGGTTGATCTGTTCTTCCAGGTAACAAGTTACAGGACAGAAGGATATGGCCTCAAGTTGAGCATTTAGATTGGATATTAAGAAAAGCATGTTCCACAAAAGGTTTGTGCAGCCGTGGAACAGGCTGCCCATGGCAGTGGTGGAGCCATCTTCCCTGCAGGGATTTGTAAGATGTGTGGATGTGGCACTTGTGGACATGTTTTAGCATTGGGCATGGCAGTTCTGATGGATCACTTAGACTTGATGATCTTAAAGGTTCTTGCTTACCTAAGCAATTCAATTGTTCTAAGATGTTTTGTAGTGAGATGAAGATGTGATGCAGCCGTGATCACCTTCCATAGTGAAAGGAATCTGTCATGGGGTTATTTTTTTTGGAGGAGCAAAGGAGATTATATTAGTTGAGGAACTGGCAGAGAGATAGGAGGAAGGAGCCATAGAAATCCTCAGAAAATACATAAAACCTTTGTTCAGAGACTTTTTAAAATATCTATGATAGTTGGTAGCCTGTGGTGCTTCTTTTTTTGTTCTGGTACTGTGGAACATATTAGGGGGACTATCCATTGCTAATTCCAATAAAAATACTGTCATACTGGTTTATAGAGCATGCTTTGAAAGGCATTCCTCTATATGTTATAATTTTGTTGAAGGAACTAATGTCACTTAGTAATTAGTTAAAGTGCTTTGGAATGAACTCACAAATAATGAGTATGTTTATGTTGAGCTTAAAACTTCATATTTTAAAAATTAAACCAATTTTGAAAACTGTCATTTTCAAATTTTCAGTATATAGAAAATGTAACTGTAGTAATTGTTACACAGTCCCTAAAGATATTAGTGCTTGGGAATCTTCAGGAATCTTACTTGTAAATGAAATATTTTGAATTAATTGCTTTTGATAGTATCTGTGTGAAACTCTATGCCTACATATAAATCACAGAAGGTTATTGCATTGAGTGTGTATCATTGACGTTAAAGAAAAATTCTCCTAACTGATGTTTAAAACATTTGGATCAAACAGAAGAGACTGAAATGTTCAGTATGTGATCTTTCTTTGATCAGTGTAATCTGATTTCAGAGATCTGCAGATGGATCAAGTCCAGAAGATGGAGATGGTAAGAGATTTTATTGTAAAATTAAAAGCTGTGAGTGTGTGTCTTGCTGGGATGTTTTGCGCTTTCTCTAATAAAGTTTTTTCTACAGAATCTGATCGAGAGGATGGAAGCTACTGTCCACCTGTAAAACGAGAGAGAACTTCATCTTTGAATCAGTTCCCTCCTTCTCAGTCAGGTAAATGCTGTTACTCTATTATAAATGAAGGGATAGTTTTCCTACCTAGAAATTCTTTTTCCAGTCATGTAAGCAGTCTTATTACTGTCTGTTGTGCTTTGGGTTAAGACCACAGCAGTCATGTACTCATGTTAGCAAATTTGATGAAGCCCAAAGGAGCTTACAGATAGTTTTTAAAAATGTTTTCTATCTGTAAGTTTATGTGTATTTGTAGTTTTACCTTTTACTATCGTGCTGTTAAATTGCAGAATTAACTAGAAATCTTCTTGATTTGTTGTGATCAGGTCGCTTCTTTCCAAATTTATATAAGTGCTACCTTTTTCTTAGTTACTCTGCTGCCAGGGAAGTTTTTCAAGTCTCAACTCATGTTTTAGTCCTCTTTTCTCTTCTCCCATTACTATTAAAATGGGGAGGATTCAGTGCACTTCTTAAGCACCTGACATATGCAAGAGAGAATGACCACAGCCTGTGTGTGTGCACAGTCAGGGCAGTGAATTCACTGGGGTGAATTCATGCAGTTCCCTTGCATGGGAATGGTCACGTTTGATATTTGTTCACTCACAGGAACAGTCTTGATTTGTGCTGTGTCTCCTAATAGATCATATGAAGGTTTTAGCTTTGGTCAACAGTTATTTTAGTTATGTCAGTGTTTGAGGCAGATTTTGAGACTGCTACTTTATTTCTACTGTCTTAAGTTGAAACAAAGAAAATGAGATACCTTGAGAGAAAGAAGTAAAAAAATATTCCTCTCCTGTGCAGCACAATGTGGAGATGTGACTAAAAGGTGAAAGCCTAGTCATTTTGATTTTAATTTGAAAGAAATAAATGACTATGAAATCCAAGAGGTAGTTGCTGATACTTTATGGACATACCATTTTAAATTCATGCACCAATGCTAGTCAGGGGATGAAGCTCTTCTCTTTCAGATCCAAATTTTCTGTTGGGCAGCTCAGTGGGTCTCCAGATGTCATCCTGTGAATTGGATGATCAGTGTTGCTGCTATCTGTTTGCTAACCACTCTTAGTAAAGGAATGCACAAAAATAATGAAGACAGGGTTTTGTAGATTTTTCTGTGAGAATAATAGTATGTGTATAACCAGGTTCCCCATAGTCTCTTAACACTTGCATTCTGCTATGTCTTTGTGGTATAAGATTAGAATCTCTGTGCTTACATCTGTTAGGAAGTGGAGGAAAACAATTTACTCAACTCTTCCTTGGTTAAATACTGGATATTCCAGGAGTCCAGTAGCCTTTCTCAAGCCTCTGCTTAGTTAATGAATTTTGAGAGGATGTGGTGATTTATTGACACCTTTCTTCTCATCTGATGTGTGTTGTTCTCAAGCAGTGATAACTTTGATTTGAATTGCAAGTTTCATGAAGACCTTTTTGAATCAATTTAAGGAAAAAAGAAAAAAATTTTCAGACTTAATTATAAAAGGCAAATAGCACATTTTTTAGTACAATGGTTTTCAGAGATGAGCTTCTTTTCTCTTTTCAACATACTTGATCTTTTTCTACAGCTGCATAAAAACTAAAAAAGCCAGTAAATACTACAATGCTTTACTTCATGCAAAAGTATCTGTTAGAGAATCTGTCTCCTTCTGATTGTCCTATTTTATAAACTGGATTATGATTTTTGTGTAATACCAAAAGTACTAGAACTGCTGGGCAGGGTGTCAACCAAACTCCCTATTGTTTGCTTCTTTATGACCCAGAAAAGGGTGGAAAAGAGGTGCTGTCTTTTGCCTGTTTTTTCAAATATTTTTTTCCTTTGGTTGACTATTATGCTGCTGAGATGACATCTGATAGTACTCTGATGTGCTCTTCTCTGTTTCTGTAGGAGTTTTGTCTTTGCAGGGTAGTTCAAACCTAAGTTGCTTCTTGGTGTCCATCAGAGGGCAGGTGTTCATGCCTACTCTCAGCAGGCATTACACACCTTTCTGCTCTCTCTGCTCAGGGGCCTTTGGAAATGGTATTATACATTCTGCAATGCTATTATATATACTAACGCCACTTCTAATTCCTAATTCAGATACAGTCCAGATTGGGAATCCTGTATTTATACAGGATTCAGGAAAAATGAAATTTTTTCTTTGTCTATTTCAGGAGACACTGAGAGGATTTTATGGGCAATGGCTTGTTTGCTACTTTGGCTGTAATGCTGTTTTAATTTAGAAGAAGTGAAACCAAAATAAAACAAATTACTAGAAAAATTACTTCAGTTTGAATTCTGGTAACAGGTTTATAATAAAGAACAGCATCCACAACTTCCCTTTTTTTTTTCTTTTTCCTTGGCTGCAGTAACAAAGAACAATGTCTTTATGCCATCAAGCTTTTGTGAACCCTCTGCAGGCAATTCTGACTCAGAACCAGGTGAGCTTCCTCATTTTTCTGCATTTTTCTTGAAAAAATATTTCTGTTGTTAATTTATTGTGATCTAAAGTACTTCAGAAGTAAGACCCTGTCTGTGAGAACAGAAGTGATGATGGTTCTGATCTTAGACCTGTTCTCTTGCTCACTTTGTTGTTCAACATCGCCATTGCTGGAGGTAATTAAAATAATATCAAAGTTGTTGAATGCTTTGGGAGTGAAGGTAGAATACTGCAGTACGACCCTTTCCTGCTAGCCTCACAATAAAACCTTTGGAAAAGTTTCATATATCTACTTCAGAAAAATGTTCTTTTATATTGAAAAGCAAAACAAGCATAAAGCATGGTCATGTGTTCAGCTATGATCTGTGAACCCTGTGTTGACAGAACTGCTAATTTTGTTAGTCTCCATAGTTCTGGTTTGGTTGTATTGGTATCATGCCTGTTCTGCACATCAATATCATATGCTTATAACCAAGCACAGTGAGACTGTAAGATGCTGAGTTGTCTTATTCTGAGTACAGATATTAAGCCCCTAAAAGGAAAACAGTATAATTATTCTTTGTAAGTTGTAAGGAACTCAGTTTTTAAGAGCTGTAGATTTATAAATTTTTTTTGAGATTTGATATTTAATTTAAAAACCATAACTGTAGTGAGTGTGAACAAAGGAGTTTTTTATGTTCATACTACAAAAGCATGAGTAAAAACTTTTTATTACAAGAAACTAACATTAAGCAATTAAGTTTAACTTAGTTTATGATCGTTAGCAATTAGATACTTGTTAGCAGCTGTCACGTTCAGTCATAATTTTGATTGTTATTTCTTTATTTTGATTCTCACTTAAAACCTTTATTATCTTTATTAAGTCCTTCACAGAAGGAGCCCCATTTCTCTGGTGAACAGTCTTTTTCCTGTTTCTTCTGAAAAAATTTTGAACTTCTTGCTTGTGATACCATGTGTTTCTTTGAGGTGTATATTTGCTGTGATGATCACTGGAAATTCAGGTTTCTTTCAGAAGAGAATTTGTTATTTGGAAAGCTCCTAATAACTTTGCATATTTATAGAACTTGTGGGTTGTTACAGTGGGGAAAACCTGAGCAATTTTATGACTGAATGGCTATTTCTAATATGTTACAGCTCTGTCCTTGTAATTTTGTATTTCATTTCCAGAGGAAAAGAGCAGTGGATTCCGGCTGAAGCCACCAATACTTATCCATGGTCAGGCACCTAGTGCAGGTGAGTTCACTGTTTACTGCGACAGTACAAAGAAACCTGCTCAAGCATTTTATTTAGTTAGTAATTTCATCAATCAGCTATAGAAGGTGGTAAATAGAAGGTGGCAATACCTATGTGTCTGCAGAAAAAAAATCTTGTCTTCTCTGGGGCGGTTGTGCCCATATCCATCGTGTAATGCATATGGATGCATCCATGTTTTGCATTGGCTCAGCTGTGCATGTTTGAAGTGCATCACCCAGCTGTTGCTGCTTAGCAAACTTCTGTTTGTGCTTGGAGTTATCCTCCAGACATTGAATTTGATTCCTTTGGTAGCAAACCATAAGAAAAGGGGTGTTCAGCAAGTGCCTTGAGCAAGTTCTGGCCATTACTGAGTGTTTAGTCTGCGACCAGGCCAGGGCAGCTGGAAGTGTCAAGAGAGTGCCCACTTCTGCTCTCCCTGGCTTTTGGTGGCAGCGTAAGTGGCAGGTCCATGATCATGCCTGTTCTGCACTACAGGTTGGCTGTGACTGAGTTTCCCGTTTACTGATGTAGACCCAGCCACTACCAGAAAGATGATAGTATTACAGCTTCTTAGGAATTTGAGGGGGAAAAAAACAAACCCAAAACTATATAGGTAATGAAAGCTATTATTGCATCACCAAATGGAAACTTCATTTCACTTGAAGGAAGAGTAGTAAATTTAAGAAAGGAACAAGCTGTTTTGAGTTTGAGTGTTTGAACTTTGGATAGCTTTATAATCTGATGTCATGCCCTTTTAATATGGGTGACCTGAAATGGAACTAATTGCTATGAGTGAGTTCTGTTGCAGTATTTATTGGATCAAGGGTTCTTCTTGACCTATGGCAAGCCCAGAAAACTGAATTTTCTGGGCTTCCCATAACCTTCTAGAGTTGATGTAACAATGTTCGGGGGTTTTTTAATTAGGTTGTTTAAGGTCAATTCACTTTTTGAATCATAGCAGAATTAGAGTTGTAGTGCTGTGCATCTTACTGTAACAACCAAAGAGGCCAGGTTAATTCAGAAAGCCAAAAGGTTATTAAATGACACAACACAACTATTACAGTACCAATGTGTTTGATTGATTGCACGGATAAAGAAATATTTTACTACTATCTGGACATTACTTTATTAGAAGGAGAAAAGAAGATTTGTAATGTTTAGTTGAATAAAATGTCAGTGCATAAATAGGTTTACTGGAATTTTCTTACATATTGGCTTTTATTTCTGAATTACTTTCTTTCTGTGCTTTCCTGAATAAGTTAGACAATGTATTTTAAAGTGTCTTTTTAGGGTAGGAAATAGTCTTCCCTATTTGGGACTAACTCTCTTTTGAAGCTGAGTAAGGAGGGATGGAAAAGAAGTGAGTAGAAGCTTTTCTAGTGTCTGTTTTTAATTGTGTGTTCTGTTGGAAGCAGTTAGAGAAGATTAGATGAAGCTGAATTTTCCAAATTTAAAACTTTATACTTCTTGAAAAAACTTTGCACTTGCAGGTCTCCCTAGCCAGAAACCAAAGGAACAGCAGCGAAGTGTGCTCCGTCCAGCAGTACTACAGGCACCGCAGCCAAAAGCTTTCTCACAGATGGGTAAATAATGCTTTTGCTTTCTAAATACAGTGGAGAGAGAATAAAAACATTGAATTTGGTTAATGTGGTGGCTTGCTTTTACTCAACACCCACCTTGGTTTTTCTAGTTTTCTCCTTTCAGAAAAGAAATATCTTAAATAGTAAGTGTATCTGTATTACATGAAGGATAGCATAGCAGAACCTTCAGATCTTGTGTAGGGTGACTGTCTGATGTTGCCAGGCCTCTAACTTTGGTGTAACCCATACTTAAGTTTTGAAATAAAAAGAATTTTAAGAGTGTGGTGTAGCAGTCAATCTCAAATGACAGCATTGACCATGGTGTAATAAGCTGTTACTGGTAATTGATCAACAATGAAGTACCTAAATCAGTGAGAGGTGCCTCTGGGCTTGGGGACCATTTTGCTGTTGGGGCTTTGAAGTACAAATTTAATTCTGAACATAGAATTTTAATTTTTAAGTTTGGTCATTCATATAATGTTTACTGTATTATGGAATTATGGAATTTGATGTAGCTGATGGAAATAGACATGGTAAAAGTGTGGAAGTTAATGCGAAAAGCTGTTTAAAGTCCCTCTATCCTAAACCCCATGTTTCCCCAGCCCGATGCCATTTGTTATGTGGAAGTTTAGTTGAACAGAAACAGGAGTAACTTCAGTTAATGCAGAGTCTGGCATAGAACCTAATATTTCTAGCTTGATTTCTTGACATGCCTCCCGACACAGATTGGACTCTACAGAGGACTTAGTATTGGGGTAAAATTTTCAGTGAGAGTTCAGTATGTGAGCAGGTAGATCAATCTGAAGACAAACCCTGCTGGCTGTGAACAGTATTAGATTAGTTGTACGTATTGAAGTCTTTACAACATTTGTATAGATTAATTTGCTGACTGGGTTTTCTGCATTTGGAATTTTGATTCTGCTAAGAATTGCTGAATTGTGGTCCTCATGTCTCTTGCAAAGTACTATGGGAAATTTTTGCTTTACATTACAACGTTTAATGGACTTAAACAAGAAAACTACATTCTATTTGCATAAGAAAAATTTTATGACAGTCTAAATATCTAGAGAGTTCACGTATATTTTTTTGGTTTTTTGTTTCTGTGTTACAGTTCTCAGCAGTGGCACCAATGGTGTAAATATCCCTCCAGATTCTGCAGCCACATCAGAATCACCAAGTGATGCAACATTGAAAAGTTCAGACTCTGAAGACAAGGTAAGTTGGAGAAGGAGACTCAAGGTGACAGACATAAATATTTTAGGAAATAAAGCTGGAAAGAAAACACAGACAAGGATAGGTTCCACTATGCTAAAAGAAACTGTGTGAATGCAGAGGCTTTGTTTTGGGAAGGCACTGAATTGGTCAAGGCTTTATAGATAAAGATCAGAGGCGAAGCCAGCAAGAGGGAGATCAAAGTGAACCTTCACCAGGCTTCAGGTTGTTTATTGAGCTGGTTGGTAGGATTCTGAAGGACAGCAGAGCTCATGAGAGCTCATTACCTGCATGGACAAACATGAGAATGAATAACTTATCCCAAAGCGCTTGAAACTGTGCAAGTTTGGGAGGAGGCCAGCATGTATGGGCTTGGGAGTTCCTTAAATCCAGAAAGAGAATGTGCATGTATCTCGTGAAAGCAGTCAAGACACCTGAGAACTATACAGAAGGATTGCCTGGATGTGTGGGAGAACTGGGAGAGCCTAAATTTGGCTGGAATTGGGAATTACGGGGAATGAAAAGCTGCAAGCAAGGCTTCCACTGGTACTGGCAGCAAAGGTAAAATGAAGGAAAATCGTAGGCCTTCTGCAAAATGTTAAAGGGAACCTAGTGGTGAAAAAAAAGAAAAAAAATCTGAGGTACTCAATGCCTTTGTCTTGTTTTCTACTGAAGAGGTCTGCTGTCAGGTCTACCAAATCCTCTTTTTAGGGGAAGCTTGACAGAGCAAATCATTACACTAAATTTGATTAAGGACTGTGTTAGACAATTTGACATACACTGGTCCATAGGACCAGACAGGATGTGTCCATGGGTGCAGAGGGAGGAGTCATGGTTTAACCCCAGCTGGCAGCCAAGTACCATGGAGCCACTTCTTCACTCCCTCTACTCAGCTGGGATGGGGAGAAGAATCAGGAAAAAGGTAAAGCTAGTGGATTGAGATAAGAACAGTTATTTAAGTGTTGAAACAGAGTTAAGTATAATAATAATAATTGTAATGAAAAGGGGAGAGAGACAGATAAAACACAAAGAAAAGAAGTGATGTCCAGTGTAGGTGCTCAGCACCCGCTATCTGTGCCCAGCTTGTCTCCCAGCAGCCATCAGCCCCTCACCAGCAGCTCCCCCAGTTTACACACTGGGCAGGATGTTTTATGGTGTGGAATATCTGAATGGCCAGTTCGGGTCACTGTCCTGGCTGTGCTCCCCTCCCCCTGCCCAGCTTCTTGTGCAACTCCTGGCTGGCAGAGCATGAGACACAGAGAACTCCTTGACTTGGGATGAGCACAACTGTGCCACAGCCAAAATACCAGTGTGTGATGAAGATTATTCTCATCCTGGATCCAAAATACAGTGTTGTGCCAGTGTTGTACTGGGAAGAAAATGAGCTCAGGACAGGGAGCTTGAGGGGTGCTTGTGTGAGACCACTAGCTGTCCTCAGAGAGTTGTGGTACTGTGGTGGGTCCCAGTTACTTGGAAAGAAGAAAGCATGGCACACCTTTCCACAAATGGCAAGAAAGAAGTTCCAAGAAAGTAGAAATGGCTGAGCTCCTTCCTCTCCCTTTGTAGTGAAGGAGTCCTAGGATATGAGGCACCTTAAACGGATTGAGAACAGCCAGCATAGATAAAACAGAGACCAACCTGATGAGCTTTTATCCTCTGAGATCATTTGCTTTTCAGAGAGCCCTACTTGTTGATTTTGACTTTAGGCAAAATCTTTGTATGGTCTGAAGTATCATTGTCATGGCCAAAATGGAGAGAGCTGTACTGCTTGAGTGGAATTTAAAAGTGGGTGATAAATTGGCTGAAGCAGTGAGCTTTGAGGGTAGCAGCCAGTGATTGGAAGTCTGACAAGTGTCAATCACTAGAGGCATTCCTAAGGACTGTTCAACATATACACAAACAACCTGGCAAGGTGGAATAAATCTTGTTACGTTTGTGGATACTACTATACTGTGGGAAGGAGAAAGCAGTTTTAGCAAAGCAGCCCGTAAGTCCTCTTAATCAATAAAAGGATACACTACTTATTCATGTTCAATCTATTGTTCATCACTGCTGCACAGCACCTGAAGGTTCTTGAGCTTTTTGTTCTCCTAAGGACTTTCTATTCTGCACCTCTGCCACCTGCTTTCCACAAGTGGCTTTGTGACTTCTCCCTGCACACGCCATGGTGGCACATTTCCTGATTATTCCCATACCATAGTTCTTATTCCACTATACTCAGAGCCTTTCACTTACAAAACTCCAAAGTAGTGTTGAAAAACAATTGCAACCTGCATGGGAATCACTCCTTCCTGCTTCTGTCCTAACTTCCTACTCCATAGCTTTTAACACTGATGGGAAGACCCAATGCTATGCACACACAAAGCCTCAGAAGTGACCCGCATACAGCAGTTGCCTCTCAGCAAGGCACACTTCCATCAGCATCAACAGCACCATAAGTAGAAAAAAACCCAAAACCACAGGAAGTCTGAGCATATTACGAAGAAAACTATATAGTTACCATGGGAACTTGGTTATTAGGGAGTACCACCTGCTCCACTGGAGAGGACACTCAGGGGGAAGATGCCTGTCTAGGGAGCTCATTACTAGTTTTTATGGCTGGCCAATGTGAAGTTTTTCTTTTTCCTTCCCTTTTTGATCTCCCTTCTTCCAAAATAAAATGACTGTCACTCTTAGAAGCAATACTATCAGCTATAGATCTGCTAATAAATTCTGTATGTGAGAACTTGTCTCAACATTTTTCATGCAGTATCAGGATCTCCAAGACTTGTCTGCACAGCTCCTTTCTAGACAGTCCCTCTTCAGTCCTTGTGACACATGGGTTCTTTCACCTCAGATACAGAACTTTGCATTTGCTAACCATCAGCTAGTTTTTCTCAGCTTGTTTTTCCAACCTGCTGAGATCCTGCTGAAGAGCCCCTGCCTTCCAACATACTGACCATTAGGCTTAGGAAGTGATCTTTCTCTTTTAGTGCCACTGGCAGATGGCATCAGGAATACCATATGTAGTTTGGGGCTTGACACTACATGAAAAACACTTAAAAATCACTCAAGTGACTGGAGCACAATAGGAGTGACGAGAGAATGAAAAAGCTGAGTATGTTCTGCTTGGACTAGGACAGGCGAATTGGAGAGAGCTCTCAGCTCTCAAGTGATAGGTGGTGGCAAGATGAGAATAAAATAAGGAAGTGTCTATCAAACAGGTGAGAAGCTGCAGATGTGGTGTGAAGGGGATTCCAGGTAGGTTTTAGGACATAACTGTCATACTTAGTGTAGTTGAACATTGAACTGAATTGTTCAAACCAAAAATCGCAGACAAAGACTCTCTAACTAATTAAAGTTTGAAAGTAGTATGTTTATTACGCCGGCGGGTGGCACGGGGTGGGGGGATTATCCCCGAAGTGCATGACCACATCACACAAGGATTTTTGCCTTCTATTTATTTCCCAAAATAATATATATGCATAACTCCAGCACCTCCCATTCCTGCTTTGTATTAAAATGAGATTATTAGTACTTCAGTTCTTCTCTTGAATGGGGTTGGTGGTCTTGAACTGGGTCAGTGGTCCCAGGAATGAAGTCAGGAGGGTCTTTGTCAGGTCTCTGTGACCCTCTGGCACGATCCACGGTCCCCTGCTTCATTATGGATTGACATAGAGTCCAGGTGCTGGGCATTGTTCTACTGGTTTCACTATGTTCCTATAATCGTTCACTTGCTCCACTTCCTTCTACAAGTGAGCTTATTTGTAATATAACAATTAGCTTTAGCTTAAGCATCTAGTAATTATTAACCTATTGTTAGTGTATCTAACTTCAATATGAATTGGCTCTAACCCTTAGCTAAAATCTTAAACCTTTAAAATCGTGATTCAGAGCCAGACTACCAAAATGTAAAACTGTCACGTGGATTGTTTTTGAAACTTGATATGAGATCTTGGGCAGCTTAATAGAATTTTGAAGTTGGTGCTGCTTTGAACAGAGTTTGGACCAGGTGCTCGTTAGAAATTCCTTTGAACCTTAACTATTCTGTGATTTGCTAAGAAGGACACTTAACAACAGAGACATTTAAATGCAAAACATCCCTTGTGGATCTGAAAGTGTTATTGGCTTGTCATTGTAAATGAATGTGTGACTCACCTTGTCATAAGGTGTTTTTATTTTTCCATTTCTTTAGACAGCAGAATGTCAGAAAAAGGAGTCCAACAATACTTCAGATGATGACTGCTCTGAGAAGGTTGAGCTAAATGCACAGCAAGCATTCGTTTTTGGGCAAAATTTACGAGATAGAGTTAAGGTAAACACGTTTGTTCTCTTGACTAAGAGTTTATGAATATATGTGAAATTAAGAACTATGAACACAGCAGAGTTGTCTGTTTGATAAAACTAGTCTTTGTACATTTAATAAATTAATTCTGTTAAGTAACATAAGAAGCTTTTTTGAAAAAAATGCATCTACTGCAATCATGAGTAACAGCTAAAGCTCAGTAGAATGTGGTGTTTTCTCTTACTTTTTGGGTTAGAATGAAGTTGAAATGTGGTCCTAAGCTGTTCCCGTGCTACCAAGACTTCAAAGAAAAGATGGAAAAATAGGCTGAGCCTGGGCTTAAACTTGTGCGTAGAATAACTTGTCTTGAAGACGGGTTAGCTCAGGTTTCCTTGCATGCTAAAAGAAAGTGTAATATTGGGACATATCTTGTTTTATTGTAGAAAGCATTTGTGGATGAACTTTGTCTTTAGGTAGAGTGAGTTGAAAATTTCATAATTAAAATTATTGATATATACTTGTTCTTTTTCTAGCTAGGAGATGAAAGCAATGAAACTGCCGATGTGCAGAATGCTGGCCTTCTGACATCAGATATACCTTCTGCAACAAACTATTTTCTACAGTACATCAGTTCCAGGTGAGACTACAGGGAAACCAATATAACAGTTCTCCTTACTCTTTATTTTCCTTATTAAAAATTCGGTATGATTCTGTTCTTTATTGGATGCAGGGCTTAGACTGGGTCAGTGGGAACCTAGACTTCTGAAGAATGAGATGGCAATCTTCAGATCTGGGGGAATCCTCAATCATCTCTTCAAGGGAGATGCATTTGATATTATTTATTTGACCACATCCTCACCAACACTTCTTCAGAAAACCAAAAAGCATGACATGAGAGGCATGAAACCAAAAAGCATGACATTCTTCTCATGAATGATCAGAAACAGAGATCTGCACTGTATTTGTGTTGTTCAGTAGGTTTCATATAAGATACAGATAAAAGGAAGAATAGTTAAAATTTTTCCATTATAGTAACCTTTTCAGAGTGGCCTGTATGAATAAGTAGGAGCCTAACTGTGGGAGGTTTTTGAGAGAACTTCTAAAGAATAACAATAACATCAGTAACATCAGAAGAAACGTGATGTATAGGTAAAGCGAGGCAGCCAGGAGAAAACTGCTAATCCTGTCTTATGTAGTAATGACCTCTGAGCTGACAGCCTTCGCTTGAGGCTAAGGTAGTGATACATGAAATCTGTATCTGTGTGAAGATGCTGGCTTAGTTGTGGTCAAAAAATTTAAGTAGTGTAAAGAATAAGAAAACAGAAGATACAGAGCTGTGAATTCATGGAAAAATGTGAGGGGAAATCCCACCAAGAGTGATGAAGCAGAGCAACATCTCTGCTCCTGGCATAAACTGAAATTCAGATTGAGGCAAGGAATTAATTGTAGGAAAAGCAACAATACGTGCTTTCTTTGTCTTTATATTTGGCATTTTTAAGATCATGTTGTTCACCATGAAGGAGGCAGTAGGCTGTTTTGCCGTCTATGAACTTTTGATGCTGAACTTTTCAGATGTTGTACTGGAGAGGTAGAGAACACCTTTGCCCTCTAGATGCCAGATCAGTGTCTTTCCAATAGACACAGTCAGACTTATTCAATCAGATTTGGCAGACAATAACTACTAATATGTGGCCTTCAAATACCAGAATATTTTCTCGCATTTTTCAACTCATGTGACACCTACTGTCATTTTATTTGAGTCTTTACTTTGGGAAGATTTATTCTTGGTGAGTCAATTGTGAGAAACCTAGGTTTGAACTTGTCTTAAAAACAATATTGTCTCTAAGGGGAGTTGGGTCTGGTTTTCTGATGAGATGGCAAAGCATTATGGTAATCAACTTGTAAAAAGAAACTCCTCCCTTTGTGTAACACTGTAAATTCTTTAAAAACTAAATATGCTAGGTGGCATGGCAGATATTATTGGTAGGCCACATTGAGTTCCCTGTCAACATTTGGAGTTCAGAACTGTGGTATTTAATTCCCTTAGGAGGTAAAATTATCTTCTACTGAGGATCTCCTTCGTTCTAGGAATCTCTTTAATCAGAAGTAGCAACTCTGCATGTACAATTTAAAGGTTTGCTTGGTTTCACTTGAATCATGTAGATGCGAGTCCCCATTTTCTAAACTTGGTGAAATGCACGTAGGCTTGATTTGGAATGGTCTGCTTTTGTATGTTCACTCTGTGAGCAAGCTGGTGTCTTAATAAGGTATGCCTGATGGGAAGGGACAGGAACAATGACTTTTAAAGTCTTTTGTCTGTAAAAGAATAAAACTCCTGTCTTTCCTAAATAGGATTTAAAATCTGTTAATATAAATACTAATGGGAAGAAGATGTTTATTCTGTAAGGAAGAAGTAAAGGCTGATATTTGATTGTGAAACTTCTTGGAGAGTCTGTGGTGTTGCAGCTAGTCTGATAAAAGGCATTACTTATCCCTGCTGCCTTTGCTTCAGTTATGGTCTTGCAAATGCTTTTGTTTCTGTTTGTTCAGTTTCTGAAAAAATTGACCTAAAGATGTGTAATAGTTCAAGTCTGTACATGTAGAATACAGTTTAAAAAAAAGTATGTTACATGATTAGACAATAAGCCCTCACTTAGCATTCAGCATTGCTTTGTATTTTAGTAGTTATCTGAAGGGGAAGATTTTGACAGAAAAAAATAATTTGTTGTCATTCTGAGAGAATTCTCGTTCTGTAAAACTAGAATGTGCTCTCATGTTAAGTTGGATTAATTTTTACCTAGGTTTGTGTCAACCAGTGCTTACTTTCTTAAAGACAGTGACAATCACTCACTTTCTGAGAATTTTTATTAGTAGAAAATAAAAAAGGTATTATTTTCTATCTTGTAAAACCTGGCTTGTTTCTTGGGTTTTTTTCAGTGTAGAGAACTCTACGAACAGTGCAGATGCATCTAGCAACAAGTTTGTTTTTGGACAGAACATGAGTGAGCGAGTCCTAGTGAGTATCCACCATGTATATGTTGTAATTTTGCCAGTAGTTTGTTATGGATTCTCACTCAGGAATTTTGAGAGCCTTTAATTATACTTCTCACTTGATTATGGGGTTTTTTCAGTCATTTCCTTTGAAGGTAACTTACTTTGAGTGCAGCACGGGAAGTTCATTATAAGCTATTGTCTGCCCAGCAATACTTTCCAGGGTTTCCCTTTCAAGCTCTCAGTGTAAGGATATTCAGTGCCCTCTCTGTAGTGCACATGGTTCTTGTGCCCAAGCATTTTATGACACAGCTCGTTGCTTTAAAATGGCTATTGGAGTTTAAGTATTAGAGGGTATTTTATGTTTGTCCTCAAAATTCAGAGCAGTTCAGTAATGTGACTCCCCCCAGAGGGGATTTCAAGCCCAGCAGTAAAGCAGCTGCCTCAGGACTGAGGTATGATTCTGGAGATGCTGTTCATGATGTACCAACCTAAGGAATAACTTCTAGTACCTCATTGTTTCTTGCTGTTGTTTGTATTCCTGTGCTGCAGCAAAATGGAAACGTTTAATGCTGAATGTTCAGACCTGTCTAACTACAAAGCAGCAGTTTGGTCAATTATGACATGAGTAGCTGTAGCTGAAATTGATTTGCTATGTTGAACAAAGCAAGTCAAAAAGCTTCAGAATAAAGGTTGAAATTTGGTATCAGTTCCAGGGAAAATAATTCAGACTGGTTCTTAGGTCACACTCCATTCAGTTCCTTGGCTAAGATAGTTGGATAGTTTTGACTGTGAAAGCATGTTGTCCATGAGATTCTTTTTTTTGCCATATGGTTTATAAATACTGGAGCTACCCTCAGTACTTGATCACTAGTCCTGTTTAGCAGGATTAGTGTATGTTTTCTCCCTTCTGTTCACCTCCTCTTTATTTCTGTGATAGAGCCCACCAAAATCAAATGAAGGTAGTACAGAGAGTAATAAGGAGAATGCTGCTACAGAGTCTGGGTCTGAATCGTCTTCTCAGGAGGCCACGCCAGAAAAAGGTGAAAACCAAAATATTATATTAGGAATGGTAGTTAATCCGTTTTTAAATTACTGTATTTTTCAGTATCCTGTTACTTTTCAAAAACATAACATTTTTATGTTGCCTTTACTGTCTCCTGTAACCAAAGATACAGGCTGGGTGTGGAAGTTGCTGGATGCTGTAGATCCTCTAATAGCAAACATGTGCAGGCTGCACTTTCTTTTATATTCTCAGTCTGTGGTTGTGGGAGTATCTTCAATGGAATAAAATTAGAGGGAATTAACAGAACTGGTAGTAGGACCTGGTAGAGAACGTAGGAGAAATGTGGCAAACTTTTTTAAACAATTCTATTTCATTTCAAGTGACTGAATTCCAGAGTCAAATGTATGTTGCATTGAGTGGGTGCCCACATGTTGCTTGAACTCAGAACTGGTTGCTGGATTCTATGACTTCAAATTGTCAAGATATTACAGAAATTCTGAGAACCATGGGTTTTCTTCAGTAAACTGCTTGCAAGCCTAAATGGAAGTAGAAAATTAAATGCACTGTCCATGTGTAGGCACAGCTGTATGGCTAGCAAGAGTATCAGTACTGCTGGAGCATCTACAGATAAGGAAGTGTCCATGCAAAGGTTTTGAACTATTGCATGTATGGATAAGACTTCTTGAGAATGTATTTGTTTTGTTCCTTATGCTTGTGAAACAAGTATTAAAAGACAAGCTTTAACTTCTGCTTTACATTTCAGTAATTTTTAATGTGTTCTATTAAAGTCTGTTTTTTGTGCATTTCAAAGGGTCTCAAAATTCTCTTGTACTTGTGTGAGACTTTTATATATCGTACAAAATTTTATGATAATCATTCTCAGACTCTCAAAATGTTGTTCAGCTAATAATATTTCAGAATCACTGGCAGAGTCTGCAGCAGCCTATACTAAAGCAACAGCAAGGAAGTGTTTATTAGCGAAGGTAGAAGTGATTACTGGGGAGGAAGCTGAAAGTAACGTGTTACAGGTAAGAAACGGATAGAGGAGCTTTGAGTTTGTGGGGATTCATATGGATGTCTGTCACAGTAACAAGTCCACAGATAGGTTGGACTTAAATCTACACAGGGGATCCTCAGCCAACCCTGTCCAAGCTTAGATGCAAGCACACCACTGGCCAGAGATCTGGGCAGAGAGAGATCCCAACCAATCAGCTGTTTAAGCCAGGAAGTTTCAAACCCCCTGTATCAGCAGGCCTCCATAATAAACCATTGCTGTTGTTGCCTCGATCTCTGAGAGTTTGTGTCATCCCTGTCTCTGACCCCACGTAACAGATGTCCAGTGAATGCACACCATCTGATTCCCTACAATTCAGCCTTCCTCTATATCTCTAATGTATTTTCTTGTGTTAAAATGCAAACTTTAGATATTTTTATCAAATCCTTATTTATTAACTTGTTATCCATTGTTTTTTAATTTCCTCTTTATGAATAAATTTTAGCATATAGGCCATCCAGGTGTATCTTAAGCATACTTTCCTGAATCCATCACATAGAAGCTTCTATTTTCTGTGAGACAATTATTTGAAGAAAATTTAAATTAATTAAATATTTTAAGTTCTTTAATTGTTGTACTACTGAAGATTTTCTAAAATTTGGAATGGACTATTTATGCCAGCAGTCTAGTTTCTTGCGAAATAGAAACTGTATCACAAACACTCAGGAATTCGATTTGAGATAGTTAATTGAATTAGTGATGTTGTAAAAGGATATTTGGTCATGACTTAGACTGCTGATTTTAATGGAGATATATTTAACATTGTAGCTATTAATTAACTTTAATATACTTACTAACTCTAGTGTATCCTTAAGAAAAACATGCAGGGTTTTCATATAAAATGAAGTGGTGTATGTATTTTTTCCCATTTCTCTTTGTACTCCAATTATAGTTTAGTTTTTTTCCTTGAGATAGTGTGTTTCTCAGCATTTGAATTGTGTTATTTTCAAGGATAACTTTTTTATTCTTACAGACACAATGCCCTATTCTTTTGAGACCAAACAGTTGAACTATCAGTATCTAATGCCTATCAGTTACACTTGTATTACCTTAAAAATGGTTCTCTGTAATGTTTACCTTCTTGGACTTATTTTTACCAGACATACTGGTCTTTAAATGTTCTTCTGGTGCATCTCTGTTTCTATTTAATTCAGAAATGTCTGGGTGCTTCACGTAATTGAGCAAGACACTGAAGAGATAAGAATCCTGTTTCACTTAGAAAAACTACAACTTTTGGCAGTTGCATACTTAATAGAGGACTGACTTGCCTGAATATGTTGTAATTTAACAGATCTCTTGCTTAACTTTAATTCTTTTTTTCTTGTGAAATGTAATGCATTAAAATTCCAAATGGGACTTGTACAGACAGAACTATGTTAATGTTGCAGAAACGTACAGAGCTAGATGTTTTGGCGTGAAGAAGATGAGAAATGAAAGGAATGAAAATGGAAGTATCTTTTCCACTTAGTGCATGCTCATCTGTGGGGAGCTTGAGGAGTGATGGTTTGACGTATAAAGCCTCAGCAGTAACAGTAAAATTGGATTAGAGAGGGCGATATAGAGATGTTTGGCATGGAAGAAAAAGGGAGCTTGTAGGTCAAGATCCTTCAGTATTCCTACTGTTGGGAAAAATACATAGACCTTTTGAATTTTATAACGTCTGAACCCTCAGTTAATAACCTCAGTTATTATTGACTTTGTGTTCAGGCTTTGATAATGAATCGATAATGAGCTAGCATGTTTGTCCATCCTTTGCTTCCTTACAGGAAGAATTTTGCTTTGCTTTCTTTTTTCTCAGTAAATTATATTATATAATTATAATATAATAATTATATAAATTATAAAATATAATTTCTCAGTAAATTATATTTACTGAGTCTTCCCAGCAACAAATAACATATTCAGTGGTACAGTGTGTACCTAAGGCTTTTAAAAGAATTAACTGATACAAGCCAGTCTCCTATGACATTAAGTTTCCTCTGTGAAAATTTATATATTACCTGAAAATTACTTGTTGTTTTGATCTTGAACCCTCTTATTCTTTAAGAATACATAGCTTCTTTTAGTAAAACTTGATGAAAACAGACAGCATATTTTGAGAAATGTATTGCAAAAGAGAGGATGACTGTTTTGATTTCCACAGCTATAAACAATTAAAAATTCCAGTATGAAATCTGAATATTTTTTACTCAACTCTAGGTGACTAAGAAATATATTATTACTTCAATCAACCACTATGCCATAGACATATTTTCTGTTACAGATTCAGTGCAAGCTGTTTGTATTTGATAAAAGCTCTCAGTCTTGGGTGGAAAGAGGTCGAGGACTCCTGAGACTCAATGATATGGCCTCAACAGATGATGGAACATTACAGTCTCGGCTGGGTAAGAGGAACCAGGGGAAATGAGATACTGGATGACAGTCATCCTATTTTCATAAGGTTCTTCCTTGACACACAGCAACATTCATTTAAGTTTCTATTAGCTCCAGAAACTCAGAAGCAGTTTGGACCTTTTCTTTTGCTTCAGTTAGTGAATACTGCCTCCAAAGAGAGTATCTTCATACCCTTCTATTGCAGCACATGTTCCAGTTACTTTTTCCCCAATAAAAGCAAGCCATATTTAGTAACTAGAATATTTGCCTAGAAATTTATGGTAACATCATTCAGATCTGGCTGTTTTGGATAGGTTGCTTGTGATGAGGGAAGTCTGTTTGAATAGTGCACAATTGTTCAGGCTGGCAGGAATGTGCATTAGCCTGAGATTATCTGTTCAGATACCACTGCTGAACTTTAATGTATAAACATATAAGGCTTCAGACTAAATAGCTTTAGATATGACTCATAATCTTCAATAGCCTTGTTTCAGTTTAAGCCCAGCCAGCAGCCAAGCCTCTTGCAGCCGCTTGCTCCCTCTTTCCAGCAGGATCAGGGAGAGAACTGGAAGTGTATAGAAGTTAGAAAACTCCTGGGTTGAGATAAAGGCAGTTCAAAAAAGAAAGCAAAAGCGGTGCATACAATTTGCAAACAAAGCAAAACAAATTAATTCACTGCTTCCTGTGGGCAAGCAGGTGTTCATCCATCTCCAGGGCAGTAGGACCCCATCATGTGTAATGGTGACTTGGGAGGAGAAACACCATCACTCCAAACATCCTCCCTTCCTCCTCTTCCCCCTGCTTTATATCCTGAGCATGGTGTTTTGTGGTCTGGAATATCCCTTTAGTTAGTTTCGGTCACCTGTCCCAGCTGTGCCTGCTCATAACCTCCCACCTACCTGTCACAGCTGATATGTAGCTGGACTGATAAATCTGGTCATAAACAGAGATTCAATTCAGCTTGACTGGTTGGTTAGAGAAAAGAAATCCCTGGGTGAGCAGTGATGGGATAGATTTGAACTCAAACAAAAAATCCCAGCCAGTGCCATTCAATCCTGAATGCAGACATATAATGGGTCAGGGAGCTAGGCAGTGCAGAGATCCCGACCAATCCGTTGTCCAAGCGTGGGAGCCCCCTGTGAGAGGGGACGCCGAACAATAAACCAAACTATTTGTCACATGATCATCTCTTGTACCTGTCTCCAACCTATGAGCATAATGTGTTACATAGTCCCATCCTCCTCATCAGTGTAGTAGTATGAAAAGCAGAAAAGACCTTAGCTCTGTGCAAGCACTGCTCAGCAATAACAAAAATACCTCTGTAATATCAACTGTATGTTCAGCACAAACCCAAAATAAAGCTCCATACCAGTGACTGGAAAGAAAGTTAACTCTACCCCATCCAAAACCCACACAAAGCCTACATTCTCCTCATTTACAGTTGTGACAAAAGCCTAAGAGGGCTTATTTATAAAAAGACTGAAACCTTTGTACAGTAATAAGTGTCTTGGCTGTTTTGAGCTTCCTGATGTGTCTTTTTCCACCTAACTGATCTTCTAACTTGGCTTTAGTGATGAGGACTCAGGGGAGTCTCAGGTTAATCTTAAATACCAAGCTCTGGGCTCAGATGCAGATCGATAAAGCCAGTGAGAAGAGTATCCGGATCACCGCCATGGATACAGAGGACCAAGGAGTTAAAGTTTTTCTTATATCAGTGAGTACTGTTTATGTCTTAACCATCATGCTGAAGTTGGTGCTCACTTAAACTGTAGCTGAGGTAGCATTCCATTTTTGTTTGCACCCTACACTGTCTTAACATCACCCTTGCCCCAAAGACAAGACACTTGGCAGATTTGCTTGTCTAGAAAGTCTTGCAAGCTGTGAACAAATGCCACATCAAAGGCTGCCCTAGGAAGCCATGTTGTTCAAAGCATTGCCCATGGAGTCATGGAGATCTGCTTCGCACATACTGAGACTCTAGTGTTTCATGCAGATTCTTTTCTGATTTAAAAAAAAATTGGCATTATTTAATGGATTTTATGCAGTAGTTTAACTAAAATTAGATTTAGTGGAACTTTCAGCACAGGAAAACTGTCATTGTCTGCATTGTGGGAGGATGAATAGGTGCCCACTGAAAAGGAAACACTAAAGAACATCATATTAGTACTTAAGGTTTACACATTTAAACTTTGATTTTCCTTTGATGCAGTGTACTAAAGCAGTAACAGGATAGTGAAAGTAGTTTCTGTGCTTACTAAATGGGGAACAGCAGTCGCAGTCAGAATTACTAAAACACTTGAGCTCTGGTTGTACAGTCAGCAAGGGAGAAAGGTCATTCCCTAATGACTGCTAAAGCACTAACATATTTGGAGGTCTGAGAACATTCTTTTGATTTAGACTGATTTTACACAAGATGCAAGAGAACAAGTGTCTTGCAAAACAATTAGTGTTCCTAGGGATCAGAAATTGAGAGCATCAGCAAATGGTCAGCTTTCCCTGTGACATTAGGTTTGTAGGCCTGGGATCTGGAGTCCCAGAATTGAACTTAATGATACCAAATATGCATTGATGAAGAAAAATAAATGAAATTATTGGATAAGTTTTTCTCCATATTTTTCTAGTTTTGGAAGTTTTGAGTTTCTGTCATCAGGTTACTCACTCTTGATTTTAGTATTGATAGAAAGTATCTTGTTTGGAATTACTTTTTCATTTTCAGTTTATTGCAGGGGAATTTTGCAGATACAGAGTTGACACATTCAAGTGTCACGTGGGGTGGATGGAAACTATTTTTTATTAAAGAATTTGGGGAAACTATTTCTTATGACAGAATTTGACAGGCTGTCAAAAATGCTTCCCTCTGAAACAGAGACTGTTCAAAAATTTTTGAGTAATTGCCTGTCTGTTCATTGAGTTTTCTCATTATATCTCATATTGATATTTTATGCCAGTTCCTCATGAAACAGTTGGCTTAATTATGATTAACTAATGTGTGAAGTTGAATTATTGACAGGCCAGCAAAAATCTGCAAGATTTTAATTGAAGGTCTTCTTAATATGAGCTTTTGGGAGCTGTCAGGAAAGCTATGTGATTTCTGTGTGAAGAAGGCTATATGAGATCAGCAAATACTGGGTATGTTAGCCAAAGAAAGTTGGAACTAAGCAGAGGAATATACTCTCACCACCAGAGTTCTGTATATCTAATGTCCTGCTGCATGTAGCACAGTCCATTCTGACTGGTTTGAAAAACACTTTATGAGAAAACTAAAAAGTATATTGTGAAATTTGGCATGACTGCTGTGTATTATGTCAGCAGTGTTTTATTGTGTTATAATTCCATGCACTGTTTTCTTATTTCTGAATATTAAAAAATGCAGGCAAGCTCTAAAGATACAGGGCAGTTGTATGCTGCATTGCACCATCGGATCTTGGCCTTGCGCAGTAGAGTGGAACAAGAGCAAGAAGTCAAGAATGCAGCCCCTGAACCAGAGGTAACGCAGTCAAATGAGGAAGACAGTGATGATGATGATGTCATTGCACCTTCAGGATCAGTTGGAAGTGGTAAGTAGGAAAGACAATGGTGTTTCCTGTTTACCATGCATTCTTCTGTGTCATTTCTTAAGGCAGTCTGTGCTCTTTGTGTATGTCTATGGAGTAGGACTATTGCATGGCTTTCCTTTTTGAGCACAACTACTCCTTGCTTCTTCTCCAAACTGGTAAAAGGCCCCTGTGCTGCCTGTGAGTTATATGCCACAGTTTAGCAGAGGTTTTCTGTGCTTTTTATCATTTACAGGATTTCTAAGTGTAGTTCTGAGTTTCATTTTTACCTTAATCATGGCCAGGAGTTGCACATGAAACCTGAGTTGAGTCAGAATCAGTAGACAGCATCTAGAATGACCTTTCAGTAGGGAGCTGTTTGGAAAGCAGAAGGTTTACAAAGGGGCATGGAAGGAGTGAAATGCTTTTTATTGTGCATGAGGAGATCATAATTTAAGAAAAATACTAGTCATCAGTTTGAGGAAGGCTTCCTTTTGTACTCTCAACTTGGAAGTCATCTGTACTTTGCTTTGTTGTGGCTGAGAACATAGAGCCTTTGATAGTCCTCCATCCTGATTCACAGAAGGGGAAAAAGGGAGGAATGAATATGAACAAAAGCAGTGGGAAGATTGAAAAGCTTGGAAACTGAGCTTTTAGGTTTTTGGGTGCTGCTGGGATTCCTGAACTAGATTAGTCAAGAACATAAAATTCTGCAGTAGACAGATCTTAGTCTGGAGAAGGCCATATGCAAGGTGGGAGAGGGGGAATTCTACAGTTTTCATCTCTCATTGAACACCTGAATCTGAGACTTACGTAGGCTACTTGGGATGAGTCTCTTACTGCAAGGCAAGAAACAAAAGATATTTCTTATGACCAAGAACTACTTTTATTGTTTCAGGTCCTAATGATGAAGGTGATGGGCAGAACGTTGGCAGCACATAGCAGATGTGAGCCAATCTGCTTGCAAGGCTGCTATGAACACCATCTTGCAGGCATCTCTGGATACCCCAGGCCAGCAATTCTTTCAGGAGGTTTAGAAAGCTCCAGGACTTAAGAACTGTGCACCTCTGTTCTGTTTGTTTGGGTTTTTGGTCTGGATCAGTAGATTCCACACAAAAAATAGCAGACTTGAAAACTACCTGAATGTGGTTTGGGACGTTGAAAGCTCATCATATTGATGAGCAAAAAAAAAAAAAAATCCAACCCCAAAACAACATAAACACAAAATGCAACCACCCCCAACCATTTCCCCTCTTCCTTGTAATTAAAATGGCACATTACAGTTTGTCACAGCTTTTCATTGGGACCTTTTGGCTGTTTCTTCAATAGTTCATGTCTTGCAGGTCTCCAAGATAGAACTTTTTGACATGGTTCCAACTTGAATTCTGCTTTTATAACCCCTACTCCCCTTTACGCAGGGAAACCCGGTCCTCACTAGGCTCCTATGCTCACTGGCTGCCCTTTTGGGTTCATTTGTTCTTTTTGGACTTTAGATGGGGCAGGTTATGTTTTTACCATTTAATCCCAGCATAGGTTGTGGATGTGGGCACCATTGTTTGCTGTCTAGTGGGTTTGTAAACAGAAAGAAACAAAACATTGTGGTTCACCAGAAGAGCTTTTTTAATGCGATAAGAGACTTTAAAGTCTGCAGGACGTTTTGCTAACTCCTTTTTTCTTCCCATTTCATTATTATTTTTTGGGGATTTATATTGTGGTGAGACTTTTTTATTTTAGTTTTTCAATAAGATGCTCTTGTGTGTTAAAAAAGTGAAACTATTGTTTTGTACTGTTCTTTTCTGTTACTATTTAAGGGAGAGCTAAGCCACTATATATAATAGATGTTGCATACAATTTTTCTTAAAAAATTTTGTTTCTGTGGCTACAGTAAAGTGCAGGAGGCATACAGGTTACACCTTCAGAAAAGTTAATGACAAAACAGCTGTTAGCCCTTGGAAGAATAAAATAGGCTCATGTAATGAGCTCTGCCAGCCATTAAAATAAATCTGTATAATAAAGCAGCTCTCATTTAATGGCTTGATTCAACAAGCCATTTAAGCACTTGCCTGACTTAACTGTATGTGAATAATCTTACTGAAGTCAATGCAACTCTTCGTGCTTAAAGTTGAGGACTTTTTTTTTAAATCTTGCTGAATTAATGGCCTTAAATAGAAAATTTAACTTCTAAACCCTTCCTGTCCCTGTTCCATTTCCTGAAGTCTTGCAGCATGAAGAAAAAGGTAATACTCCCAGCCTTGAGTAGTTTGGGCTGAAGGTTATTGTATTCTATTCCACCACAAATAAAAGCAAAAATGTGGTTTTCTGTGTGCAATTCTGAAGTACTCCTACTGTAACCATAACTCTTTTTTTGGTGGGTTTTTTTTTGGTTTTTTTTTTTTTGGTTTTTTTTTTTGCTTTGGGTGTTTTTTAATAATTTGAGCCTTTTATGTGAAAGTTGAGTTTTATTTTCTTATTGAAACATATGGTATATTCTTGTCCAGCAAGGTTGGAATTTGGTAGTCACCAGGTCACTTTCACTTTAAATTCCCCAAATTGTTCTGTTTCCTTTATAAATCGTTTGCTGATAGATAATTTCTGACTTGCATGCTTGCTCTTTTGTAGATTAACAATCTAAAATGGCATCACCTAAAAGAAAATGAAAGGGGAAGAAGCATTTGACGTAGCATGAATTGAAAACAGAAACCCAGGCTATAGCACAAAATCAACTTTGAAATTTAGTATTCAAATAGTAAAACAGTCCATATTGCTTCTGTTTTAATGAAACACACTTTTCACTGGCAGTCAAGAACAAGTTTTCCCCTGTTTTCTGTTGTTAATCATCACTGAAGACTGATGCTGTTGGGGCAGACGGTGCTTTCCCTTTTCCTGATAGCCAGAAAGGAACATCTGTGATTGCTTTTGTGGAAATTGAAAAGGGCTAATGATAAGCTGTGCCACTGCATCTTGAGCTCTCTAGATTGTCTGCTCATGCCTTCTTGCATTTTGGTTTTCTTTTTTCCTCCTTAGGGTTATGGGGGTTTTTATCAATGAACAGACCTTTTGCTGCACCCCCTACTCTTGGCATGCTTCTACAGGGGCATGGCAGATTTCTTAGTACCCACCACACAATTGTTTCTGCATCACAAGTCTGGGGACTTTAGAGTAAGTGATCTGCATTTTGGATCTGGGATCTTTTTACATTGTTGAGATACTCGGATTTAGACTACTCTTTTCAAAAACCCTTGCACCATAAAGCTGTTTCTTGTCGGCAGCTTGTTCATAAGGAAAATTAATTAAGTGTCTTGGCCCGCACACCTACTTTTGTGAAAACAGGCATTATTTCCTGGTCCAAGGCTCTATGGCGTCCATGCTGAGTCTCACTTTGAAGCGTTTTACCTAAAATGCAAACAATGGTGCATGAAGATTCAGAAATATTGAATAAGCATGCTTGCTTTGGGGTTTGATGGTACACAATCACCTACAGCTTTCTAAAAATTTTGGCAACTATTTACTGATGTAGATTTTATTTTTAGCTAGAAGCTTTGCATAAATGTTTATAGTGAAGGCAGAAATGTTGCTGTGCATCCCAACAGAATTGTGTTGCTGTGCGTCCCAACAGAATTGGCAGTGGGTTGAGTTCAGGCCCTGCCCAGCAAGATACAGTCAGCCAAAGCAAAACCCTGACTTAGCTCTCTGCTTTAAGCCTTTAGTAAGCCAGTGACAGGCAAAACTGGATAATGCCCATGTATCTCAAAAGATCTGTGTAAGACTGTCATATCAAAATGTACATGGGAATTACATTAAAACCTGTGTCAGCAAGCAAGCAAACAAAACACCCTGAGCCCTGCGTTGTGTTTCCTGTACCAAGCAGCGGCTGTTCCAGGGGAGGGTAATGGTGACCAGCTCTGCTGCCTTACAGCAATCTTCCCCTTGATCGTGCTTATGCTCCATCTTTCCCCTTAAGCCTCTTGTTAACTTTTGTGTGGTTTTGACAATTCCTTATAGCCTGTTGGCTGCTAACCCACACAGGTACAGCCTTTCAGGTTTCCAAGTGGAAAAAAAATACTGAAGAGTGTAGTAAAGTTGAACATGCTTGCTGATGACTCAGCAGTGTACTCTGGCAACCAGGATGGCCAACCATGTCCATGGGGGGCATCAGGCCAGCTGGGTGAGGGAGGGGATTGTGTCGCTCTGCTCTGTGCTGGGGTAGTGTCACCTTGAGTTCTGGGGGCAGTTTTGGGCATCACAGTATAAAAAAGACATTGAGCTAGTAGAGGAGTGTCCAAAGAAGGGCCACAAGGATGGGGAAGGGTCTAGAGGGGAAGTTGTATGAGGAGCTGCTGAGGGCATTTGGTTTGTTCAGCTTGAAGAAGGAGAGACCAAGGGTAGATCTCAATGCAATCTTCAGCCTCACGAGGGGAGGTTAGGGGAAGGTACCAGTCTGTACACTGATGACCAATGACAGAGCTTGAAAAAGATCATGAAGCTGAGTCAGGGGAGGTTTAGCTTGGATATCAGGAAGCTTTTCACCCAGAGTGATTTTTGAACTGGAATGGGCTTCTCAGGGCAGTGGTCACAGCACCAACCTGAATTCAAGGATTTGGACAGTGCTCTCAGTCATAGGGTGGGGTACCCTGTGCAGGGCCAGGTGCTGAATTTGATGATCCCGATGGGTCCCTTGCAACTCATCGTGCTCTGTGATTCCATGAAAATGTTGTTGGAATGGTGATGTCACTGAAACCAGAACTAAGCCTCTTAGCCATAAAATGGCAAAAAATGAAAAAAAAAAAAAAAGGCACGCAAAGGAAACACAAACATTAAGGTAAGAGAATGTTGTCATAACAACATCTTTCTGAAGTCCAGTTCCTGGTTCATTGCTTTAGAAAAGACAGGGCAGGAAATGATTTCAATAAATGAGTCCTCAGCCATCCTGCACTAGAACTAGGGTGGGAGGTGACCAGATTGTTAGAAGCCTGCAGGAATAAAAACCGTCCAGCTTTGTAATGGCTCCTCTTTGTTCCCTGAAGTATCAATTGATGCCATTGCTTGAGTATTACTGCCATTAAATGACTGCTCCTAACACATCCCATTCTGCAGTTCAACTGGTCTCTTGCTCTCCCAGTGAGTGTATAAAATGGTTTATTTACTTTTTAGAAACATGTTACGTATTTCAAAAATTACCATGTTTCCCATAATCTTCTCTAGTTTTAGGAATTCCAGTTATGCTAATTGCTATAATTTGTCATACAAGATTTTATTAAACTGACTTTTCACTGTGTGCTTTTTCTCCCGGTGTTACTTGGTCTTTCTGTCTACTGACTGGCTTAAATTGAACTCTAGTCCATTCTGTGGGTAGCAGATTCTCAGACAGGATGTTACAAAGATGGTTTAATTTTTTTAAATGGTTCCTTTTTTTTCCCTCCTGTGAAATCATCATAGACCAACACAGGGGCAAGAGAGAATTGCTAAATCAGACAGTCGGCCTTGATTCTTTTTTGCTAGGTGAAAGTACAGGTATCCCATTAAGAAATGCTTACAGATAATTTCTGTAAATAAAAGTCTCATTTGAAGGTAGTATTCAGAGCTTCCTTTTGGCTACCTCCTTTCAAGGACTCCTTTCCAAAACTTGTCCTTTTGTAAAGATACAAAAGCTGAATTTGTCACTGAGAACACTGGTAATTTTGTTGCATGGGTGTGCAGTGAATGCCTTTTTTCCAGGGTTATCTGTGAATTAAATGTGGGGTTATTTTAAATGAACCGCTCCTGATCAAATTCTGGTGGCTTACCCTCAGCTTCTAATGGAACTGGAAAAGTCAAATGGTGATGTTATGTTTGATTTCCTCAGTTCCAGAGACCAGGAGGTATCATTGAGTCCCCACTGCAGGGTGTCTGCTGCTGGTAACTGAGCATCCATGTGCTGACTGTACCCTGTCCTCTGAAAAGCAGCTTGCTGTCTGTAGTCCATTTAGCAGACAAGATAGATTCCTGTTCCAGAGAATTCAGAGCACAAATTCTGCTGCAGCCAGGAGATCTATTGGACAAGGCCCTACAAAAAGCTCATGAGAGAGGAGGGATGGCATAATGTTTTGAATGCAATTTGCTGATGGATGGTTGTGCCATTTTTGAAAAGGTTTTTGAGATAGAAGGAACCCCAATTGTGAGAAATGGCACTCGCTTTAAAAATTTAGAAGGTTTATTAAAGCCTTATCAAAAAGTACAACAGAAGACTGAATAGAGAAAATAATACAGTGCACCAGGAGCAAGGGATTCTGTCACCATCTGCTCATCCACACAATGGATGTTCTGTCTTTCAACCCTTTAGCCACTCCCAAAGTTTTGTCAATCGACTCCTTCACTGTTCAGTGGTGGAGATAAATTTTTACATCTTGATTGGAGGTCAGGTGTTACCATAGTAACAAGTCCATCCTCCCAAGTGTCTGGACTACCCAGGCCATCTGGTGATAACAGTGCAAGGGGGGAGAACCATACTATACATCTGCAAAATTTCTCTTAACATATGCTTAATATTCGCTCTTTAATTGTGAGAATCAACCATCGCATTACTCATCTATAACAAACCCCCCTTTTCTATAAGTCATTTGGCTCAAACAATTAACTTAAAAAATTTTTTTCTCTTGAATGAGTCATACTAACATCTATTGATGAGGGTAAGAACAGTGGGAACTGGAGAAAAAATCTCAGGTTTTTCCTAGACGCGCTTATTTGAAATGGACAAAAGGGCATCACAGAGGTCCGGTATGGCTTTGAGTCCCATCTACCGTGCCTCTTGGGTTCCTACCCAGAGTAGGTGAATCTTAGTGATGAGTACAGAACCCAGCTTGGTCTTGCCCTCTAATCCCCTTTGTATTAAAAGGCAGCTGAGGAATAATAAAGGTCCAGTATGGCCTTTTTTGCCCCTACCTTACCATGCCTATGGGGTTGCTACCCACATCAGGGCTATGGAATCTTCTTGGTAGTGAACAAAGGGACCAACCTGGTCTTGCTCTCCATTCCTTGTCTTACTTTACTTATGGTTCTTAAGGAGGCTGTCCCATTACCTCTTACGGTCCCTTGTGTACTTCCCCTCAACAGATCCTTGTAATTTCTCACCAATTAAAACAGAAAAAGAATTCTCAAGCTGGCTGGTGGAAACTTGACTCTACTTTTTTGGCATCTGTTGTTTTTCTGGTTATCTCTTGGTCTCTGCTTGCGAGTCAATCTCATTTCACCCAGTCTGGATGTTATAGTCCATTCTTTGGGTTCTTCTACTGGGCCTTTAACTCTGTTAGCATGAATCCATCCCCGCTCTGCAGTTTG